TAGAGTGCTTAATTTAAAGCCAAATCACTGTGGTGTATTATTAATCTTATCTAAAAGTAATTGTGCTTTTTTCCCCTTTTTTTTAAAGCTGAAAAAAAATCGTGAGGAATATTTAACTTTATGTGGAAAGCGATAATCAACATATGTTGTTTTGGCACTGGTGTTTCTTTAGTCATTAAAATTAGCTCTAATGTAATCATCCTTACAACCACATAAGAGAACAAAAACATGTAAACTGCCAGATATTGTTGTTACGGTGTTACTTCTCACTTAAGACAGAAAATATTAAATGCCTCCATCTGGTGTGATAACATCTACCTTCTCTATAAATGGACCCACCTAAAGGAGTCAAGTGGCAACAGCAGGATCTGTCATGCTTAACCTCGGCAGTATAAGAAATCCCTCTCTTTAAACCCTCTCAATGAGACATGTGTCAGCACTGAATATGTAATTCTTTCTGCCCATACCTTCTCTTTCAGTTAAGAGAACGCTTAGAAAATATGGTGCTCATGAGCTCAAATTGTGGCTTTAGAATATGAACCTGCGACAGTGAATACATGTCTCACCAAAGAGAAAAGTGATACGACTCAGAGTGCTTCATCTAACCACAAATGGACTCAGTCCTGTACTGCGCATTGCTATTTTAGAATTCTTATATGGGAATCAAGAGTGTCTGATAGCGGTCGTCTGGGAAAGACGGGTGTAGCCCTGGGGTTTGTGGTCTTGTCTGACACTGCCTTTAGAAACAATTCCCAGCAAGGTGGAATAGAACGGGGACTAAAGTGTCATGGGAAATGGTGCCATATGTCCAACTTGATTTTCAGTGTTTCACCGCATTTTGACAGTTGAAATGAAATATGAGCTGACTTCTTCGGGTATTGTTGTATTTGAAAAGCAGGTGTTACTTCGTGAATCCCAAATCTCCTTTCTAATCTCCCACCTCTCTTCTGTGTGCCTCTCACATCTGATGGGTGATCCTGTTCTGGATCTCTGAACATTGTAAGCAACATATTTGGATATATTGAAAATAAAGATATGTGGAAATATTGATCTTTTACTTTTTTTTCTTAACTGTAAAATTAGTCTTTAAACTTTCTTTAATCCATTTTGAGAATGGCGCATGCAAAAAAAACAAGATATGTTTAAAATATTAATTTGATTTCAATGACTTTATTTCAATCTTTTAAGCGGTTTTGTTGTCATTTGGTATTAATTGAAAAGTTTCAATCAAACATTGATAAAAAAGAAGAGTAACTGGAAGCAAAGCATTCATTAAGCTTTCCTCCATAATCTTAAAAGGATCATTTTTGTGTTAATGCTTTCGGACCATTTCACACATTCTCTTTGAGAGTCTTTAATCCACCAGACTAAAATCTGTTCTGTGACCACTCCATCACTTCAGATATTGGATTATGGTGGCATCTCCCACTGCTGGAGGGAAAAGCTTGACTCTAAGATCTGCTCTTTATTCCAGAGTTGTCGGCTCCCAATGGTTTAGGGTAGGGAATAAAACAACATAAAAAGACAAACAATCTTGAAGTCCTCCTGCTGTGACCACGGTGGGGGCACTCTTATTTGACTAAAGGCTACACCCTCCTTTATGCCGGAGAAGAATGTGTCCCCGTCAAACTGGGGCCCAGAACAATGGGGGCCAGCCTCGGGGAAACAGGGACATTTGCATGCAGCTGTTTGCCGTTTCCAAGACCACAAAGGCCAATCATAGGAACCTTAATGGGGGATGACAAGCATCAAGCAACGCCTTTGCTCTCTGTCTGTGCCAGCTACCGTCGCTCTCCCAACTTCCAAAAAATTGTTCACTTTTTCTTTGTTTTTTTAACAGACATTCCTGCACTTTTTCTTCCCACCCTTTCATGTTGTGCTGCAAGGTTTGAAGGGTTAAAGTTGAATGAATACACTCTTGAAATTGAAATACCGAACGGCAAAGATGAACCTAAACATATGTGCTGTAGTTTGCATGCTTCAGTCGCCAAACTGCAAAGTGTCCACACCAAACTTCCATTATCTTTTACTTTAATCTCCAGGGTTTTAAATGCCACAGAGTGTAACTTTGTGGATGGTTTCAAATGCACCCATCTGAGCCACAGTGCCACGTCCAATTTCAAGGGTGTTGATAGAAAACAAAATATGTATTATGAGGAGGATTGTCGCCAGTGAATTATAGGCTGTCAAGTGGAGAATTTTTTTTTTTCTCCCAGAATGCAACATATTGAGCTGCAGTCTCGGGCTGGCTTTGCTCTCTTGAGCTCAATAGACGGCTTAGCAGGCAGGTCAGGGGGAGGAATCTGAAAAGCTACTTTCCGTGCAGTCACTCACTGACCAGAATGCATGATAAGGCCTCATGTCAACAAGGGCAGGAATGGGGATCAGAGCCAATTATCGCTAAGTCAAAGTGGTTACCATGGTGATTTGACTAGATGGTCTAATTTAAGCTTACAGGTTCCTTGCTGATTTCGTAATTTAATATAAAACCGAGGGAGTGATACAGCGCTCAGTTCTGAACACAGTCGATCCTGCAGTTTTCTTCACACCATTTTCCCTGCAGCTGGTGGCCTTCTGTCGTAATCTTCAACCTCTGCAGAGTTGAACAGTCAAACAAAGCATGAAGTGCGAGATGAAAAGCTTTTCATGCCTTCCTGTGCACACAAACAATCTTGCGCTCTTTTAAAAAATCTCGCAAAACTTGTTTAAACCAAGAAAATCAACACCGAAGAATATACACATCTCGAAACCTTTGTTGTCTCAAGCTTTCCTCTCATAGCTGTTTCAAAGTCCTGAGATCTTAAGCAACAACTTGTTGAGCCACCAAATATGTATTCCTTTGAGTTGAGCTTTTTTTTGTACTGAACAGAAGACAAAAAAGAACAGTTTAAACATAGAATATTATTAATATATAGACAGGTTGACAAGAAAAGCCATTAACGACACAGAGAGTATCCACAGTTTAGAGAAGAAGTAATTTGTTCTTTAGGCAGCCAGCACAGTCTCTATACTCCTAATAGATGTAGTGTTAGCCTATGACCAGAGAGATCTATGCAGGTAATGTAGGTGGAGGCCAGCGAGACACAAGCCTAATCAATTGCTAGGCTTCTGTTGACAACAGCATGCCATCGTGCTGTAGTGCTCTGATAGATGGGCAGAGCTTCCGCTGGACAGCCAAAGAGAGGGAGTTAGAAAAAGCAGATGGTGTTTCCGTCCACGAGAGTGTTTTAGCCGAAAAACAGTCCCTTTGCTCAAAAATTTAAAACCCCATGAGATGCATTCTTTCTGTCTGTTCTCTGTTGCTGCCGTGATAAACCCGTCACTCGTTCCATGAGGAATTGCAGGCAGGACCATCATTAGTCTTCCCAGCAAAGCTGCCGACTTCTGTCTGTGTTTTATCATCCGCCATTCCGGACAGGTTTTCTGAAAGGTTTGGATAATTGTCGTGGTTATTGGGAAAGACAGAGTGACCTTACAGCCCCTCACTTATGGCTCTGCTAAACTGACGTCTTCTAATGAGGTGATAAACAGTACGGCGAAGCAGAATCTACTGGCCATTAGATGGATCATGGCTTTATAATGAAATGTCTAGTGGCCAAATGCCAGAGAATTAATACCATTAGTATCATATTTTGTTCTGCTTCTCCCTCTCTTAAAGCACTGCTGAAGTTTCTCCTAATATGCAATGACTTAAACATTATGTTCTCAACAGTAAATGTGTTACAGATGTCATTTTTCTCTTATTTTCTGGTGTGGCATGTGTAGACTTTCATAGAATATCATTACGGCCGAGCTGGACGCAGCAGGCTGAAATGACTCGCAGACATGTGGGTCGTGTTTTAAGGGTAGGAATTTCAAGCCGGAATCACTTCAGCTTTGAGCAGTTCAAACAATGCTAATTGCGTCAGCCCCTGACTGTCAAAAGTGTGAGGATAATTAGAGTGAGGGGGCAAAATGAACCCGGGGCGGTAAGTGTTAGTACATGACAATGCTCGGAAGCCAATGGGAGCATGGAAAAGGTAACAGGCTGAAAGGAGGGCTAATTAGGAGAGAGCAGCGCAGAAAATACAAATGGTAGCTGCTCCCTCAGGGGCCCCAGTGCTGAAAACAATGGCCATTATTGACAGTTCATGCAGAGCTCTCCTTGCTCTTCTTTAATGGAATATGTTTCCATGTTCTACTTAGATTTTTTTGTAATTGTTTTCTCAGAATTGAAAACAGTTTTTCCTTTTAGTTTTGATCATTTAAACCACAGTTTTTCTTTCCTCCTTTGCTTTTTTTCCCTTCTCTCATTGCAAATCATCACATGTGTGTTTCCACTTTATTAATGAGAGGACATTTCTTTTCTTGCAAAAAGAAATAAGAGTAACATGTCCTGGAGTAATTTGCTGAAAAGGGGGACTGATGTTAGTGAAATAGCTAATTTTCTTCCAAAGAAGAGCTACTTGGCTGTGCTCCCATTCGCTCTGGTCCATCTATAGATTATTCCTCCTGTGTGGACTCCAGACTGTCCCTTATGTGATCGTCGGTACTGTAAAATGGATTATGTTGTACACCATTCTGTTCCGATTCTGGCTTCCTTTGCAGAAAAAATAAAGCAAAAGAAAAAAAAATGAGGGGGCTGTAAAAAAAAGATGTGGATGTTCTACATAGGTGGAGACCATCCTGAAGCAGTGCAGCCTTTTCTTTTCTTTTTTTTTTTTTGCACAGGAATTTATTAGATTACCACTGTTCTCCAATGACATAAAAATTTGACAGCCCTGACCACAGAGGGATGGAGAAATGAAATGTTTCGTCTCTCCCCATTCCTGGATCGCATGTAATGATCCGTCTGTTTAAAACTGTGGTAAACATTGGACCACTGTTGCCCATTTATTTTGTGCTAGCAGATTTTTACAGCGTAATGTGCGGTCCCATTGTATTAAAGCAGTGAACCCCTTGCCTATTAATTTTGCGATGCGCTGTCCTGTCTGTCTTTGTGTGCTTTCCCCTCCTGCCAGGGTTCAGCCGTGCGGCCTTGCCTTTCGGGCTGGTTAGGAGAGAGCTCTCGTGTGAAGGATATGCAATTGATCTCCGCTGCCCGGGGAGTGATGTCATTATGATCGAGACGGCCAACTACGGCCGGACTGACGACAAGATCTGCGATGCTGACCCGTTCCAGATGGAAAACGTCAACTGCTACCTCCCTGATGCGTACAAGATTATATCACAAAGGTAAAGTGCTGGGGGGAGGAGGGATCATATTTCGCACAAACGAACAGAAGCCGGGGTGGAAAAGTATGGTCCTCCTGTGTTTCTCAGTCATTATTATTGTTGGTAACGAACTATGTAAACCAGCCCATTGCATGCTTATTTACAAGTTTATCGTCGTATTTTAGTTTATACAAGAACAAATGCATATGCAGATGAATATTCTTCTACCTCCAGCTTCTTGAACTCCACTTCCTTAAAGGCTCAGCATACTGTTACTGGTCAGCTTGCTTATTAAAAATGCTATCACGCAACACATTCACTTGTTCCTAGTTTGAGAAATAACTAAATCAAAACTAAAAGGCACCAGACCATCACATCACAATATCATCACAATGTTTGAAGTTGTTCAAGAGCAGGGTTGTCTTTAAGGGAGGCCAACTCCCACTTGTGATGGCTCTGAGATTTAGAGCTACACTGATTGTTTACACAAAATACAATATAAGAGTGTGATAGAAAGTGTTATATGTAGACAGTTGAATATAGACTGGCAAAAAGGCATCATCTGACATCTTTTAAAATCCTGCTTATTCCACTGTGTATTCGGTTGGTATTCGGATGGTGACATTTGAAATATAAAGACACAGATTATTTCCTGGCAGGCAGGAAGTGACATCTACGCATCAGAGCAATTCCCACCAGCTGCGTGTTGCCGCTTCTGTTTGAGTCATAATCAGTGTAGCTTAGAGAGACCACAAGTCACATGAACACTCTTAATTCCCTATCCAGAAGACTGAGCTTGCTTTGTTCAAACATTTGTAGTTCATTGAAGTGGCTTTGCCTCAGGTAGTGAGCAGTGCCCATCGCCGTGCCTTTTATCCTGCTTACCCTCTCACAGGATGCTGTCCTGCTGTCAAATGACATCACAGCAACGCTTCAGCACGCCCGCTGCTAACCCGCTAGAGGTGTGTGTATTTTGTAAGGGCAATAGATGAACTATTCATAAATAATAACTAGCTCAGTTTGCTTTCTAATGCTCTGCTCTGCCTTAACCTACCCCCTTTAAAGCTGGCTTTTGAGCATCATTGCCCACCATGTCAGACCGGTGGGATTTTTCCTGCCTCGTTCTCCACTGTATTTACTCCCGTGAGGTGCAGCTCTGCAGAGGGGTTTCATGAATATATCAACTCCTGCTGTCTTTCTAAAATTATACCACAGTCCTAGAAAAGTCATACAAGAGCGTAATGCTGTCAGTGTTCGTGGCCTCCAGTTTAACTGCAAACAGCTACACCTCTGTCGACAAGTTAGACTCGCACCCACTGGACGTGCACTTCAAACCTATCTCCATCTGAGATTCCCAAGAGGCAGTGCGTACAGCCAAGGCTTTGCGAAGAGCCTGCACCATAAGCCCTTAACCAGAATTATTGTAATCATTCAGATCGGAGGAAATGGGCTCCTGACCGTAATTAAAGTCAACATGATAATTGGGGATGTTAAAGCACTCACAAATCTTTTTGAGACTGTGGTCAGTCCTAAGTTTGTGTGCAGAAAAAACAAAAACATGGGTATTTAAACTCAATCACAATGCCCTGTCAATACTGTCAAGATTAACAAAAGGCAACAGCCCCACAAACGGATAAACAAACACATTAAGGAAGACTTGGGAGATTGAAAACAGTTGGAAGTCGGCTGCACGAGTGGCAGTTTAGTTGGTTTGAAAATTGCAACAGAAAGTATTCATCAGCCGCCTGTTTTTCATGACAAAAACAACCAGACGGGAATCAAATGCTGGATTTTTTTTTAAAGGCTATATCAAAGGGTTTTGTCAAGAACAATGTGTAGTTTGTGACAAAAACTGGCTAGATGAAAGGTGTGTGAGAGGGAGTGCTGGAACCTTAGGCTTGTGGGTCCTGTTTAATATGCAGGTGAGCGTTCCCTTAAAGATGCACCGTGAATGGACGATGTGTTCGACCTTTCTCTTTGCCTGCTTTTTCCTCTCCACCTCTAAACCAGTGCAGGTATAAAAAGCATTCAAACATAAAAAAAGTTAATAGGCTTGTTTTCTGCCCACCATTACCTCATTTCAACGGCCACCTCTTCTCTAACCATTTAAACTAATAGCAACACAATATTATCTAGTCAAAGGTGTAGTTTTTTAACAGAGAGTGAGCAAAGGATGTAAAAATCCTCACCCAAACACTCAAAAATGACATTGTGCTCAGTGCAGTAAGAATCAAACATGAATGACCAAAGTTACAGTGGATACTTAAAGGTTTAGCTATTTTAGCAGGAGTGGAAAATGTACATGAACATGCCAGGCTCTTATTAACATTTATTCATTGCAAAAGATCAAATGTTAGAATTTGAAAGGTTTTCTCTTATAGAGTTGACCCACTGAGAACGATCTCCCAACTCTTTAAATCATCTTGACGCATTACTTTGGTTTCCAAGCCAATCTGAATGTTTTGATGTAGTCTCACTTCTCATATCAAAGTAACTTTTGACAATCGTCATCTAGAGCAATGCCTAGAGTCTGAACTATTTTATATATGTGTAGTAGTAGTTTGTAAATAGTAGTTGATGAAATACTTAGCAGAAATGTGGCTCCAATGTTTTCTGTTATCATATAGATCAGCATCAGGATGCCATTCTTTCAATTATACTGACATCAAATATTCTAATATAGCTGATTCAACTGCTAATAGAAGCTGTGATCTAATTCCTATTTCTTTTCTTAATAGCAAAAAGTGTAAAAACACCTTGAAGAATCAGTTAGACTAGAAAAGTGCTGGAAATATACAGTCCGCTTACTATTTACAATGACACGGTGGTGTGGTTAGCGCCATCACCTCACAGCAAATAGGTTCCCCAGGGGAACCGGGAGCTTTCTGTGTGGAGTTGACTTGTTCTCCCTGTGTCTGCGTGGGTTCTCTCCGGGTTCTCCGGCTTCCTCCCACAGTCCAAAAACCTGCATGTTAGGTGAATTGGACATTAGGAGCTCCAGCCCCCCCGCGACGCCGTTTACAAAATTGGATAGATGGATGGATGTTACAATTGCATCCTCTTTATGTTGTATCTTAAACCGCAGCCACCCCTTGGGCTTGTACTTTATGACCTACGTAATACGTTGGAAAACAATACATTGTAGGTTTTTCAAGGAATATGGACAAAGTGCTTTCTAGCACTGGGAACTGTTGTCAGTCAGACTCAAAAACACTCAATGCCAAATCAGATAGAATATCTCTTGGTGCATTTGAGCTGATTCAGTCATTTCCACCTCCTGTCAGTCAGTTCACATTTCAATACAGTGACCCTTCTTCCTTGCAGCCAGTCTCTTGAGGATGCACTGTGGTGAAACCAGAGGAGTTTTTCTCGTAAGTGCAGCTGACAGCATGATGTCACTGAAGCTCAGACCAGCTGATGATGCTTTACCGAAAGGGTTTAGTAATCTGTTAAAAAGGAGGTTGCTGGTTATCAAATGCATATTGGACAGAAAATTCAGATATAATGCTTGCGAAAGCACATCACTTTAACTTTTCTTAAGTAATTATTTTAGCACTCTGCCGCACTTTGATTCTGCGTGGTTGGTGTGCAATGCTGAGAAATGAAAATAGTTCTTCTATCTCGGATGGTTTATTGTTAGGTGCTAAAATCCATGTCCAACTTGCATATCTGCTTCTGACTTTCTGAAATATTTATGTAAAGCTTTCAAACTGTTGAATGATTCTGGGCGTTTTTTTTTGTGCCATTTTTTACCTCTTTTTTTGTTGCAGCTGACATCATTCCGAATCTTTCTGCCTCAAGAGAGCTTAATTGACGTTAAGCCAATTTCACCGTATACAGTATTCACACAAACGCGATCTGCTGCTGCCCCCCCCCACCCCCAAACCCCCTCCCTTGCCTCTAAACTTGAACTTCTTAGCACCCAGAAATACGTGCCAAGGCGTGCACAAGTGAAGACACACACAGGCTGCCTTTGCAATTCACACATCAGACTGTTAATCCACTGAGGGACACCATATCATGCTGGAAGGCAAATAACCTTTCACAGAGATGACACATTCTTGTCTTGTTTGGGGCGAACATGCAGAGGAGCTGCTCTGTTAAACTTGGCCACCCAGTCCGGTCCACTGCATGTCTCCGCCACCTGTCGTGTGTGTTTTAATGACTGTCCTCTTTTTCAATAGTGGTAAGAAGACAGTGATTCCTAACTTGCCTTTGTGGCTCTACCTCTCTGTCATTCATCCCGTCACCTTCGTTTACAAGCCTTAAATACTTTCAATCCTCTCTCTCTCTCTTTCTCACTCTCTTTCTCTCTCTCGCTCTCTCTCTCTCTCTCTCTCAGTCTCTCTTTCTCTCTGTTTGCCAAGGTGTAAGCTATACAGCATAAGTGACAGTGCTGCCTGGGATTTCAACAATGTCTGTATGGCTGTAACAATGAAGTTTTCCCTCCTCTGTGTTATCAATGTTGTTTCTGCAGAGAACTCGTGGTGTGGGTAGTCATGATGAAATCTCTGGTCAATCTTTTTTTTCTAGGTGCAACAACCGTACGCAGTGTGTGGTTGTCACTGGCTCTGATGTCTTTCCTGATCCATGCCCTGGCACCTACAAGTACTTAGAGGTCCAATATGAGTGTGTTCCCTATAGTAAGTATCGCCATCCAAATTTCAAACTGAACTCTTTGTGTGATGTTAAAGTGATGTGACTGCAGCGTGTGTCCACATGAAAGTGTCTCTCAGTTTACAGAACAGTTCAGCTAGTTTATTTGGTACAAGATTGTATTATCACTAGTCGAAGCTTTTACGTGATTTAAGGGTTCAGTTCACCTGAGTTCTGAAAGCATATTTTCTCAATCACCACACTGGGATCCAGCCATGCAGATAGTTTAATTTTTTCATTAGCTTTTTTTGATATTTGATACGTGTCTCTTAAGGCTAGGGTTACATTCTACATCTGGAACCTGGCTTGTAAAAAAAAACTGAGAAAATTAAATGCCAAAACAAACGCCATGGCTAATTAAAATGTCTTATCCCTGCTTCTTACTTAGAAAATAATCAAGTCAATTCTTAAAGTTTGTGGTCATTTTCACCAAATGGTGAAGGTTTTTCAAACTTTTCTGTCCATCAACTCGCAGAAGGAAACAAGTCCGTTTGTGGAGAGGTCTGTAGGGAAACGACTACCACTCACCTAATTTGCAGCTTAAGTAAACAGTATATGTTTCTTAAAGGCTTTTTCATCTGTCTCTAGTTTTGTGTGTCACTGGGATTTCTGTGGGAATGTTGGTCCCCCAAAAAATAAGTTAGCCAACAAGTTAAGGAACATGCTTGGCCTTGTTGGCTTGTATGACAATCTGGCGCTGTATGGTATGGATCTAATCCTCCAGTCATCCAGACAGAGTTGCACAAAAAATTCTATTTTAAATCCATTATCATTAATTTATTTATTTGAGTTATTCTAAGTTATTTTAAGTTAAACAAAAATTAAACTAAAACTGATATTCATTTAAGATATATTTTAATGTAATTCCAGTACAAGTGAACATGAAATTGGAATTTTGGCATTAGGAAAACTAACTAACTTTGTCCAACTTTTCACTGATATAAAAGAACAATTATTTGTCCAATCAAGAACAAGTCTTTTTTTTGTCCTAGCTAACAATCAATAGACCTTCTACCTTGATAGTTACAGCACAGCATAGTGAACAGTAGTGTAAAATTCCACATTCAGAGGATTTTTCATAGCCAACTTTATAACTCCAAACAAGTATTATATTTGGATTTGATTTATTCCATTTATCTTATCTTATTGAGAAAGTTCGCATTAACTTCCCTAATATAAGCATGGCTACGTTTTGCGGCTGACACGCAGAGCATCACCAATGGGTGATTTGCTTGAGTTAATAGATTTCCAGCAGCAAGATCAAACTTACCCTGTAGGAGACATCAGCATGTCAGATTCATCAGCTTAAGCTCTGTGATGTATGGATCCGTGTCTTCTCAGCTTGTCATGAGAGTTACTTGGTCCCATCATGTATTACATATCATGAAATATAGTATTTCTACTTTACTTTAGGCTAAACAAATTTTGTACATACCATCTAGAAATGAAAACTGAACAAATATGATTACAAAGGAATTCCAAATCGTTTCAGTTTTAATTCAGAATTTCATTCTGGGTTCAGATGTAACAAAGATTGCTTTTTATGTTAAATGTTTCTATCTTTAAGATTCTAAATTACAACATTTTGGCTCATGGTTTGTTATGTTTATATAATTTTCTAACATGTTTTGCATGACAAAAAAAAAAAAAAATCAAATGCTAATGCTCTGGAAAATCTGCAGTCCTCTGTGATCCGTTTTAAATTAGAAAAGCTTTTTATGAAATACCTGACGGGAAGAAAAACAAGAAAATACTTTCTTTAATATTTTTGTTTATCTAGAAATCTGCAAGTTAGATATTTCTGCACCTGGACAAATAAAAGGAACCATCTGCCTCACCGAACATCATTGAGGTTAACTGAGAAAATGTGTTTTTCTGCAGTTCCTGTGAACTTACCTCTGAAAGGGTTCTCATAGCATACATGTAAAAACGCAAGCAATGTTTATTAATGTGTCCAATGCATTCTCTAATTATTTATGTGCCAGACAAAGTTACTCTTATAATTTCGCAAGATCATTTTTCATCTTTTCTCAAATGAAAAAAAAGATTCCTGTGTAGAGTCATAGATCATCTAGAGACTTGCAGTGGTTTAATTAAATGTACTGCAGAGTTGATTAAATCCAGCACTATTTTCAAGTTAATCTACCTTAAAAGGGTGCTTTAGAGTAGTTTATGAATGCAGCTCAGGACCTCTTTCCTGCCTGTGAAAGTATTCTGCATTTAAACTGATGAACTATAAACATCTTCAGAAATTTTTCTCTTCCTCTCCTCTTCTTTCAAACAGACCTTCCTTTCACCTCCTCACATCCCCACCCCCACACCCCATAGTAACCTCTTTGCTCTAATTTTCAAAAATTTCCAATCTTTCACATAGTGTCTCCAGTCTCTCCCCCTCCACCCAGTATATGCAGCTGCAACAGTCCACTACAGAAACTCCATATTAGGCCGACTATCCATCAGTCATCTCATGTGCTGTTGCTCTCGTTGGCTCATTTAAGAGTCAAGCCTGTAATGTTAGCACCATGTGATGTTTTACGTGTGTGGGCGAGCATGTTTTGGATTTGAGTCCTGATTTGTGTTTAGAAAGTTTGAACGAATTCCACCTACTGCCAAGACATGTCAAAAATCCTTTCTGTGTTTTTTTCTATAAGAATATTATCCATCTAAATATGACCAGGACTTTGAATCTTTTTTCCTCCTGCCACTTGGGGAAGCGTTCATAAAGGGATTTATTCTGCTTTTGCAAGATATCATTCTTTTGGCAGATAAAGATGGTAAAAATGGAAGTTTAACGCGTGGAAAGCATGGCACATAGCTTGTCTCTTGTCATAACTTCCCTGTTTTTAGATCCTAGGATGAGAGGCCGTTTCACTAACAAACACTTTTTTCCCCCCTCCAGCTCTTCCTCCTCCAAACAGCCCCCAGATTCACTTCATGGTCATACCCTCCAACTAATTCTCTTTCTTTGTACCTACTAGTTGACTCATGATAACCTTTCTCTCCCTTTTGCACTCTTTTTTGCTTTTCTTTCCAATGCCTGAAATAGAAGTGGAGCAAAAAGGTAAATGAGTGGTCTGGTCCTTCCCTCCCCCACCTTTGGCTCCTTGTTCTGTGGTGTTGAGTACAGCTCCCTTCACGCCCCCCCCCCACCCCCCCACCCCCCCACCTCTCCCTCCCTGATTGCCTCTCCTGTCAAATGCTATACCCATAGGAGGATTGTTTGCACCCATGGAATCCAAATGATTTGCAGAGCAGAATTTCAAATGACAACCACGGGCAGAAAACGTAGCCATTCTGTGCAATATGAAAGAAAACACCAACTGTTCAGTGTCTATTCATTCCGGGACCCCTCTTTTAGCACAACAACCCATGAAGAAACACCAGTTGTGTATATACTCTTATTTGGCTTAATCTCAGTTTGCTTGGCCCAACTTCTGCTGCACTCATAGCACGTGATGTGAAATAGCAGTGATGGCTGAGTGAGTTTGGCACAGACTGGAAAAAAAGCTTTAAAATAACACAAAAAGTCCCTGTGTCCCTTCTTATCCAGAACTAATTCATTTAAATGGGAACTTTGCCATGGCCTCCCTCACCCATCAGTGGTTACTCTTGTTATACACCACAGACGTAGTGAAAATCCTTCACCACTGTTGTTCTATTCCTCAACCTCCACTTTCATTTTACCTCTGCTTTGCTGCCGCCACCACCATTTACAACCTGTTGTTCACTCTCGTCACAAGATGTGAAGTCTGTGTCCTTTTATCATTTTATTTTATGACCTAAGTCATGTGAGTATGCATGTGCTGTGTGTCCATATACCCAGCTGTTCATGTGGCATTTGACATTAGAGACAGAATGGTGTTTGATTGGAAGAAAACAAAACAAAACAGAACACTGTGAACTTTACTTTGCTCATTTCCCATGTCTACCACTTGCAGGATTCCTCTATTTTTTAATCACATTTGTTTTTGTCCCTATTACGGTGTACCAGCAGATCTTTGTGATGCAAATAACCACAGACTTTTATTCTGATTAATCCCTATGACACATATATTTGTTCCATTTTTCCCCCCCAATCATTAGTACAAAAGCACTAGTCAAAAAGCTTCCTCCAAATTCACAGTCCCTGACCTTTTTGTCCTGCACTTGAATCACACAGCAGCGAGAATCATGCCTCTCAAATGTGCTATGCCTGTTTGTTTTAATATTTTGCCTTGTTGTACTTTGTTTTGCTGTCCTCTTTTCACTAGTTTTCATTTGTCCTGGGACTCTGAAGGGAGTAGGAGCTGCCACCTTCCTGTTTGAGGCAGAGCAGCAAGCCGGGTCGTGGTGCAAAGACCCGCTCCAAGCTGGAGACAAAGTGTTCTTCATGCCCTGGACGCCCTACCGCACAGACACTCTCATTGAGTACTCCTCTCTGGAAGACTTCAAAAACGGCCGGCAGACGACCACCTATAAACTGCCGCACCGTGTGGACGGAACTGGCTTCGTGGCTTATGACGGGGCTATTTTCTTTAACAAGGAGCGCACCCGCAACATCGTTAAGTTTGACCTGCGCACGCGCATCAAAAGTGGCGAGGCCATCGTAAACAACGCCAACTATCACGATACCTCTCCTTACCGATGGGGCGGCAAGACAGACATTGACCTTGCGGTAGACGAGAGGGGACTGTGGGTGATCTATGCCACGGAGCAGAACAACGGGCGCATAGTGGTGAGCCAGCTCAACCCGTACACGCTCCGCTTCGAGGCCACCTGGGAGACCGCGTACGACAAGCGCTCGGCCTCCAACGCCTTCATGGTGTGCGGCGTGCTGCACGTGGTGCGCTCCTCCTACGAGGAAAATGAGAGTGAGGCCAGCCGGAGCCAAATTGATTACATCTACAACACCAAGCTGAGCCTGGGCGAGTACACTGACATCCAGTTCCCCAACCAGTACCAGTACATCACAGCCGTGGATTACAACCCCAGAGACAACCAGCTGTACGTGTGGAATAACTTTTACATCCTGCGCTACGACCTGGACTTCGGGCCACCGGATCCAGCCGAAGGTGAGAGCCACTTCGTCTCGGTGCAGTCCATTGTCTTTGTGCAATCCCTCTATTGTTTGGCGGCAGTGTGGGATGTCACAGAGGGGGGGCCTTTTTAGTTTTGGATGCATTGCAGGTGTGATAAAGAAAATAGGGTTTTGTTAGTCTTTGGTAAAGGACTCATTTGCCGACAGAAATGACAGATTCACTTTGGAATGAGGGATGGCTCCCTGCGGGGTTGCACTACTGATAAAAAATCCTGCTTCTTTATTACCATTATGGGGGATGAGGCATTCAAGCCAGCAGATGCTCGGAGCCCATCAAATTCTTCAATCTCAGACCTTATCCAAAACCATTATGAACATTGCCCTCCTGAACTTCCATCTCATGCTGTGAACATGTCTGAGAAGTATTGTGCACAGTATGACAAAGGTTATCCTTTCCTCCCTACCTCAGGATTTCAAGTTGTGTTGCCATGGTTACCTCTTCAACTTCACTGAAGCCATTTTTACTCCTCTCAAAGCAGACAAGGAGATAATCTTCAAGTTATTGTGGGCTAATATTTTCCGAAAGCTGAAATGTGTGTTTGTTATGGACCACATGGTTCTTCTGTGCAGGATGGCTGGAAAGAGACATCTATTACCGAGAAGAATCATGTCAGGCAGTTAACAGGCCTAAATTAATCTGTGAAGTGCCGAGAGGTGACATACGTGTCATCAGACAGGGACATTACATCAGGCTGATAATGACTTTAATTACCTGACAGCCGCCAATTTATCCCATACAGCTTGAATAAGTCTAATAAGTCTCTTGTATGAAATGGGGAAACAAGAATCTTGACCTGACTCAATGATATGTTAGAGGCTCTAGTTGCACAGCCACAGAGCAGTGGTCCAGAAGAAGGGGCTGATATTTCATTGTAGGCTGTGTGCTCCTGAACTCTGGCCTCTTGTCAGCATGTCTGTTTGTTTTCCTGCCGCTCCCCGGAATCTCCCCCTGCACGAAAGCTTGACACCCAGACAAGGGGTGTCAAGTTTGTGCCCGTTCTGCTGAACAACCATAGTCTCTATGAATATGTGTATTAGGAGAGATATGAAAAATAGTCAAACTCGAGTGGCTTTGCCGTGGATGCAAACCTCCAGCCCATCTACTCATGTAGTGATGTATGTAAATGTAATTAACAAGTAAATTATCATTATTACCTTCCTTGTCACTGAAGAGTCGCGGAGAGAGGAGGGAAGAAGCCGTCGCAGAGCATTTACATAGAAGCGTTTAATGTCCTCTCTCCGCTACCGTAATGCCTCGGTAAACACAAACGCCACATAGACACGGTTCAGCATCTTGCTGCAGCAGATAATAGCTGTTGATTTTGGTCATTACTCCAAGTTCTGGTTTCCTAGCATCGCTCTGTCATTGGAATCCAATAAGAAATGCATCTTTCTTGCAAAAACTTGTCAGTGCGGATCATTAAGTGTGTTTTAAGAGAGCTTTTTGAAATGTGTGCTCGAGAGGACGGGATCTCAACAAACCAATGCCAGTAGTGGCAGCTGCAGCACGCCGGGCTCTGTGAATGGCACTCGAAAATAATTGGTTCTTGTTTATTACTTGTTTTTGCAGATATACACCTTTAACTTCTTTACTGTGTAGCTATTATGATTCATTGCTGCCCATGATATGTTCTTGAATTAAACAACCTATTCTCCAAGGTGATCTAATGGTGCTGAAATAATGTCTCACTCTCTGAGACACAGGGACACTTGAGGCGTAAAGGAAATTAATTGTGCCCATTAAGATTCATCGACCACAGAGGGAAGTTACTGCAAATACTAGTGCGTGCTCTCTCCATTTTAGAACCAGCAGCAATCAGTGTTTGTGTCCTTTTCTGTCATAAGCATCAACCTTGTCTGCTCCCCCTGTACAAGGGGCTTTTATGGCAGCAGAATTATGGCTTCATATTAAGTGAATATCTGGCAAAGTAATCACAGCAGAAAATAACTGACTGTATTTTCTGTTCCTCTACCTCTAATAAAGTGTATTTAACCGTTTGGCTTGATTAATTCTAGCCCTGTTTGGAGTGCTTAGCTTGGATCATTTGCCATATTGATCTTTCTGCTTATTGTTAAAAACATTTCACACAGATTTAGAGAAAATGCCTGTAGTCTGCAAATGCGTTGTGAAGGCAAGCCAATAATGAGGGTTCACCTGTTCAGATGGCCACCTAAGAGAAGCAAATGCCAATAAGGAAATTCAAATCTAAGTGGCTGTTGTTACAAAAATTAAAGAGGGACACGCTATAATTTATTTTCAGTAACATGAAAAGACATCAATTGATTTCTTTTCAAGTAATTGTAGAGCACATTTCACACTAACCAGGAGAGAAAGGAGAAAATGAATTTGTCTTTGGGGTTGCATTGATTTGAGACCTTAAAGAGGGGAGGCGTAAAATTGATGGCTTTGTCTCTGAAATCCTCCACCATTTGCTGTAACCTGGGAGCAATGAGTGGACTGTTGAAGAGAAAAAAAGTCAAATATGAATAATTTTTGTATGTTATAATCCACCTTTTGGCAAAGTGAGACGTTTTCATTGTTTGTTTTGCTTTTTTTTGTGTGTTCCCTTTGTGTTTAAACCCGGCTTTGGATCAAGCAGTGGTACCTATTATTTTCTATCCCTTTATTGTGCCTCCAGGTGAGCCTTCAACTTAGAGGACATTTATAGATGTATCATGCACTAAGCCTGTGTTCCACTTTCCGAAGCATAATGTTTAGCAACAGAAATGTGAGGTAACGGAGTCAGGGGATTTAGTGGAATTGTTTTGCGTGCTGGATCATGGCATGAAACTGTTTTAGTGGATCTGAAAGGTGTACATGACAGAGAGTTTTGGAGTGTCATGCTCTGAATGTATTCCTGCCTCCACATATATCTTCCTGTCTGCATGCATGTCTCTTTATTGTGGGTCTGCTTTGCCATCTCTTTCAGACAGTCTCGTGGTGACTGTGCTGTGCACGCTGTTCAACAGTATTCTGTTTCAGGCCTCATAAATTACCCGCGTACAGACACAAGATATGGCGGGCGGGACTCTTGGTGTCTGTTGTGCTTTTTAAAAAAAAGGTGTCATCAAAGATGTCAGCTCTGCATCTGTTTTCTAACGACTATTTGAATGTCATTTTTCAGATAATGACTCATTCTTTAACATCAAATTAAAGAACACACACAAACTGTCTTGCGGCTCTCACGTAAGCCTTAATCAAGCACGGGCTCACGTAAACAGCCTAATGTAAAATGAATGTCTGGTGGGATTTGTTGCTCTGTCATTAATTATCAGTGAGGGCTCCAGGTAAAGAGGCAGAAGACCAACTGTAGCTTAGCTTTTATCCTCTAAGTAAGCCATGTTATTGAGTCAAGCTAAATCAAGGCGCACATGGATTTTTATGCCACGAACACATATTTCAAGTGGAGGTCTCACTCAGCAACTGCCGGGACTATCTTTATATTTACCATGCCATACACTAAATTCCCTATGTCATGTTCAAGGAGGGGGAACAGCAAGGAGATGACAGAATATTTTCTCCTCACTTCATGTGGTTTAAAACTGATAATGATAATTTCTTGTCAGCTGAACGGCTCTGTTTATTAGTTCACTGAGAGGATTAGTTTTGTAAGTGATTAATCTTCAAAACTGAAGCACATCAGAAAAGCTTAATTTGACTGCAAGTTGTCATTCTTCTTCTCTTAATAGCAAGTATTAACTAGCTTATGATCCATTCATTCTGATGTCCATCTGGACAGGTAGAAAGTTTTTTATGGCTCCGACTGTGTAATTGGAGAAAAGAAGATGCAGACCCTCATCATCTGATTATGGTCTAATGTTTTTGTCATCTTCCTCTCAGATGCATGAATGACTCAAGGGGGCTATAAAGTGATGAAACTAATTCAGCTTCATTCCCAGTGTTTCGATTGATGATCTTGTGGGATGATTTTCCTTCCCCTTAGCTCTGTTTTAATTTACACACTCTGTGTTGACATTGGTCACAGTCATTTTTCAAGTGCTCAATCTCAAACTCTCCCATTATTTACAAGAGGTATTATTTGCCATATGGCAACAGTATGCCTTTGGTGTCAGATTTCCCATAAAGAGTGACTTCACTGCCTCTTGAGAGAAATGGTCGCTAATTGGTGCAGCCCTCTCTTGGAAGAGTGCTATCAGAGGACACGAGGCTCTTACTGGAGGGGAATTTGCTCTTTGCAATCAAAAGAAAATTGGTGCAGAGGCATCAAAATAAGCCTGCAGAAGATCTGCCATCTGAGCACATTTCTTTATACAGAGTAGAGATGTGTTGCATATCTGATGCTTTTGATGTAACCAGCACTCTGGTTTTAAACCCCAGACATGATGACTACAAACATCCACGAAGATCGTATCTTTTCTTTGATTAAGGGTGCGTCTTTTAATTAAAACTACATTAAAGTGTAGACAAGAGCAACAATAAGAAAGTGGCTATGTATCAGATGGCCAAAATGTCAAATTATTTTGGGATTCTTGTGTCATTTGTGGTTGTCAGAGATGTCTTTAGGGTGAATAATTATATGTGAAAAGTTTAACTTTTTTGTATACTGAAATTAATTTAAAACATTTTTAGTTTGAGTTCACACTAAAACAACTCCTGCTTTAAACTGATATAATTTGAATTTAGCAGATTTTTAAGACAATCTTTAAAGATTGGCCATTTAAGATGTTTAATTTTTTCTCTCTCATTTCTTTCAATAGTTATTAAGTGAGTAATATTTAGTTATACACACTAAATACAGCAGATACAGCATTATCTAAAACTATTTTTTTTACATGATAGGCCAAAAGATAAGATAAACAATTAGTCCAATGTGATATTAGTCAATCTTCAGGTTCAAATCACAACATTACATTTAATTAAAACGCCGTGTCAACAAAACAATTAGCACTCTATTAAGTATTGAATAATTAACTGGCATTCAAAACAGCAAAGCTGATGTGATTTAGTTCTACTGCCATGCTGCTCAGTTCGGTAAACGGAGTGTATTGTATTTCTTTCTACCCGCTTCATTGAAAAGAGTTCAAACAAAATACAAATCTGAAAGGAATCAAGTGAGACTGTTTGAAGCTTTGAAGAAAATAGAGGGGTAGTTTAGAGTTTAGATGAACTTCAGTCCAAGTTGAAAACTAATTGACAAAACACATAATTGGGGGCTGGAAAGAGGAAGTTGATTAGCAGCTCAGACAAATATCTGATGATTTATTTATTTTTTAATAATCAGCATTATTATTCGCTTTTGAAGATTTACAAGCAATCAATTTCTCTGAAAGTGATTCCCTGCACTTTTTAAATTTGGCACATTTAAAATCTGATTGAAAAAAAATTAAACTGAAAAACACTTGAATTCAGGCACGCTTTACAAATATTACATTGGTATTGTTCTTCTTGTTCACCCATAATTCAGCTCTCAGTTGATATCTAAACACTTTCTGGATTTCTAACACTCTAATCACAGAGCGTTTGTTGGACACAAAGTTTTTTCAAAACTTATTAATAAGTAATGACCCCCTTAGTTTATAAAATCAGTGATCATCCCCATTTTGTATCATTTGTACCGATATGTGCTTTATTTTAAAGTCCTGAGTTGGAGAAATACGGTCTTGCCAGCAGGTTAATCAGCTGATGCAAGCACGCTGTTACAGACAGATGCATATTAGGGCTCATATCAGCCTGTGGAAAAACCGAAATTTGCTCAGGTATGGAGAGGTTTAATATTGTGAAACCCAATTACACTTGCCCTTGTATTGCATTATATGCTTCTATTGAATCAACCAAGTCAGCTTATGAATCTTCTCACTTTTCCTGAGTCAATGAAAAAACTTTGCATTACATAATGTTCTTTTAACTTTTTGTTAGTTTTTAAATGTAGCGTTCTCATAATACTATTGTCTCCAATACATTGGTTTGTTTGGCAGCAAATAAAAGTTACTTAAACCAAATTTCTTTAGGTCCTTTTTTGATATTATGAATAAACGTTAAAAGGATTAAGACTATTATAGATAGATGTAAAAATGATTAAAAACCATGCTTTTTAATGACAGTGGGTGATAACCAAAAGCCTCATTATTAACTGGTAACGCTAATCGCACATCAACTGTTACTTGTGCTGGCCAGGCCTGTGAAGGTGTGGCTGACAGGCACATAATGACTGAATGACTGCAAGGTAATTAGCCAGAGCTCCTGTCTTGTGGGAAAAGGTCACTATGTGAAATGTCACAATTCAGCCAAACTGTCTGGTGTTTTTTCTTAATCTTTTCTCCATAGTCAGCGTTACCCCGCTCCACAAACCCCTCTGCTCTCCTGGCCTCATCGACGGTCATCAGCTTTGTTGTAAACTTGTTTTAATTGTTTTAACTGCATTAGAAAGCGACGGTTCCCCGCTCTGGCCGATTAGGTGAAACTTGAAATGTCAGCTTTGTCACCATTTTCTCAGGAAATGGAAATAGGTGTCTGATGATGGAGTGTAAGATAGAATGATATTACATTTTGCCAGAAACACCCAGGGAAGCCAAGGCCAGCACTATAGTGCCTTTCACAGTGACAGACCTCATTGTGGGAAGCTGCTTTTATCTCAAAATCCAATCAGGAGGTTGAGGTAAAAACCCATGGTCATTCATGCAGAAGACAAGTAGCCCTTGATACCCATGTAGACACATGCGCATATACACAAACACTCACAGTTTTTTTTCTATTGTATCCATATGGGCTATTCATACTGTATTAAATTTATAGATTTCCCATTTCTACTCTCATTTCCTAGTTATCTCTAGGCTCTCCGCTACAGATATCAATCTGTGTGCAGGCAGTCATTTTAAGCAGGAACACACCTGAGTAATAGAGCACACACAACTGCTCTGCACACTGGCATGTGCGCGTTCACACATGGATTTGCTTGGTAGGCGTGGACTGAATACAGTGGAATTGCATTATTGCTGATGTATGGTTTTCGCTCGGGGCAGTGCAGTTCTCCTTCCGCACAGCGGCATTATCACAGGAGAGGAGATGAACAAGGCAGGGAGAAAGGTAAAACACAGACAGGCTTTTGTCTTCATTGTTGACATTTAATCAGCCTGATACTGACTCTGCTGGGAAGAAATCACTGCTAAGTCAAAAAGATTGCCCTGCTGCTCTAGCTTGTCTTACTTATTGGCTTAAGCAAACGAGGAAGAGCAAGAGAAAAAATTGCGTTGCAGACAGGTGTGTGTAGATTATGTTTTTCAAAAGAGGTGAATGGAGAGGGCATTACTTGTGAAAATCTCTATGATCCTTTTATTTTCAGGACCTATGTGCAGCTGTAACTCTTACGAGATTGAAAATACCACAAGTGATAAAATGATTGCATTTTCCACTCTGAAAGAAACAGTAAAACTTCGAAATGACATATTTTTAACTGAAGATCTGTGCTGCTGTCTCACTATAGTGCCGACCGCCGAGGATGTCTCCATCTCTTCATCCATACCGAAGACCACCAAGGTGTTCACCACGACTGTGCCCACTGTTAGGGGTCAGGGTGACACAACAGTGGCCGGAGCGGACCCAAGGGATGGAAGGGATCCTTTTGAGGACAGCCGGGGCTCAGTAACCGCTGAGCCCACCGTCCCTGAGCTGCCCCCAACACCCAGGCGCTTCTGCGAGGCGACCAGGAGGAGAGCCATCGACTGGCCCCAGACCCACACCGGGATCAGCGTTGAGAGGCCCTGCCCCAAAGGGACCAGAGGTAGGGGCTTATTATTTATCTAAATTTACACACACACACACATACCTGTATAGGCTATACAGATAGATTTGCCTTATATTTATGTGTGTGTGTGTGTATATATATATAAAGAAAAAGAAAAATCATATATAAAAAGGTGGTAATGTGAAGTCCCTCTGAGGTAGAGAAACGATTAGGGAAATATTTTTATGATATAGTTATATGAGTTTATCTGACAATGATACTGCCGCAGCAATCTCACAGAAATTACTTTTGCAGTCCATCACCAAATCTGACAGTGCTGTCAAAATATAAAAGAGGGCTGCTGAAGAAATGAAAACAAGAAAGAGACAATGTTGAAAAAAGAAGGCATCTTAGATAAGTGTGCTCTTGCTGTTGTCAGTGAAGCAGGGTGTTATTTAGAGTAATGATGTGTTTCAAAAGTAAGGGGGCATACAAAATGTTTAAAGTTTCGAAATATGTCATTCTATAAACAAAAAACTATTCACAGTTTGCCCAATCTGTTGTTATGTTTCCCCACAGCTACATCCAAACCATACGGTAACATCACTGTATTTTTGTTATAGTTTTCCACACATTTTTTTAAATAGAGACATCCTACACAGCTTCTAGACATTAGATCATTTGAAAAAGCCTTGTTCCTGCTGAGCATTAAGTTTCCTGTACATGAGAGACTGTATAAATGAGAGAACAGCAGGAAACAATGTATCTGAGCACAGTTTTGGCTTTCCTCCAACTTGTTTTTTTTTTCTTTGGGTATTGCAGGCATTGCCACTTTCCTCTGCACCATGGCAGGTTCCTGGTGCTCCAAGGGACCAGATCTCAGCAACTGCACCTCCCACTGGGTGACTCAGGTGGCACAAAAGGTAAAAAGCAAGTTTGTAGCTATGTGCAGTGGTAAATAAGCATGCATTATTGTTAAAAATCAAACCTCCCCTGTATAGGCAAAAATTGGCCCCTGTGCTTGCAGTCATCAGGAGAGTCCTTCTTTTCAAGAGTAGCTTAAACCATGTGGTAAAAACAGAAAAACTTGCCATCAACATCTTAAACATCAAGAGTACTTGCAAGAGCTGCAGTGTGCCTCTGAGAATCAAAGCGCCGCAGTTTTTCTTCCTTCATGATTCAGTGCTTTGAAGTTGTGCAGGTAGAAATGTAGATGTACAGATATGAGCTTCGGCAGCCTGAATGCACAATAATGCAACGGAAACACAAACCACATTTTTTAGGGAATGAGTATTGTTTCCCTTGAATGGAAAAACATCTACAGAATACAGCAGGTTAAGGCAGAGCTTTTTGGGAAACTGGGAAACAGATTTTTTTTTTAAACACTGTGACCTGATTTGAAACAGTTGGCATGATACAAAATACAAAATGTAGTATATCTGAAAACCACCTTATTATGTAGATATGTTTCATACCATGTAGGTTGTGTTTGATATCCCCCCTAAAGGCAAAGCTTAAAGAATAAAGAGGGCAAAATTAATTAATAAACAGTAAAACGAACACAGAAAATGGTAACCTACATTCATCCATCCATCCACACATACATAAAGAAAACAATTCAGTTGACAACATTAGTTATATTAGTTAATTTTAGTCCAAACTTGCAGCAATCATAGGTCTGCTGCAATGTTTCTTGTTCTTGCTTTTTTTCTTTAAATAGGGGATGTTGCGGAACAGATGTCATGTTTCTCATACCTCAGAATTAAATCTGCAAAGCTGAAGGATTTATTTTTTCGCCATTTCCGTTCATATGTTGTCTCTAAATAATTATTTGGTTAAGTCAGTTTATATTAATAACTGTTTGATTGCATAGATCATCATCATCTTGTGATTGTGGCACACAGGTGTAATTTTCAGTACTTGTCTTAAACCTGCGGACCATAAAGCTTTTTTCTTTTTGAACAAGCTACGCTGCAGTGAATTAGCACTCTGAGCTGTATGTATAATAAATTATTCAGGTGCGTGTTATATAACCATCAACTCAAGCCTGCATCACCGACACTTCACAGACACCCTCTTGTTTTTCCCCTGCTGTTGTTTTTAGATTCGAAGTGGCGAAAACGCTGCTAATTTAGCCAACGAGCTGGCTCGGCACACTCAGGGCCCGGTGTTTGCTGGAGATGTCAGCTCCTCTGTGCGCCTGATGGAGCAGCTTGTGGACATTCTGGATGCTCAGCTGCAGGAGCTCAGACCCAACGAGAAGGACTCTGCCGGGCGCAGTTTCAACAAGGTGCTGTGACATTCTTAACTAGTCGGATGTAGCTTTTCGTAAAAATTGTGCCCCCCGCTTTTGCCTAATTCAGACTCAGCATTACGGAAGGCACTCATTCTCAGGATACACACAGATAACACAGAGATATGCCTGCACACTCTCTCACATCTGCACATAAGTTGTCATGTACAAACACGGTCTCAAGTGAGGGGGATTGGGGGGCAGGTCAAGCCCCGAGGGGAACCTCCTCAGCTCCCGGGCAATTACAGGCTTTTGGAAAAGCAGGTTCACCTGGCAGCTCCACCTTATGGGAGCTAATGGCCGTGAGCCCCCCAACAAGAAAGAGAATAACTCTTCATTGCTGACAAGTGCAGAACTGCTCCCTCCTGGAGCTTTTGCAGGTGCCTGTTGAGAAAAGAGTGGGTCATAGCTATACCTACTTCTCTCCGCTGTGGCAGTTCCATGGAGAGGCGAGTGACAGTTTGAAATATTACATTGCTATTTAGACTTTGGAGACAGTGGCGACTCTGTAAACAAGGTGATTTTCACCAGAATGATGGCCTTTATATCCATATGTTCAACTGACTGGGGATTAGAGTGAGCCAAGTCACTTTTTCAAGTGCCGCTGGTGCATTGAAATTTTGCAAAAACTAAACAGTGGGAATCAAAACTCGCTGATTTTAAAGGATTTCTTCTGTGATGTCAAAGTGTATCCAGTGACATCATTTCTTTGTTCTCTTACAGCTGCAACAAATTGCACATTACACCAGAGGCAGAACAGATGGCAATAAAAAATTGCTGTCAGCCTGATATTAATTTTACTCTTGAAGTAGGCTACTTTGACTCAGGAGTTGTATCATTCCATTAACCTTCTTTTACATTTTCAGGCCCTTATAATCGTAAAGTTGGAGTATACTTTTTTAACATTTGTATGAGTTGCCCCTCCTTTGACCCAACCAGGGAATGAGATTTAATGGTGGAGGTGTAAAACTATACTGCAATGTAAAGCTAGATATAATGCAATGCTTCCATTACACAAATCAGAACAAATAAAAGAGAATAATTACATTTCGAAGAGGCATTTTAAGTGATCAACAGAAAAGTAAAACAAAAAAAAAATAGCAATGGCTCAGGTGGATGACCGAAGATCTTATAGTTGGGAAGTCTAAACCCCATTTGTGATAGAATATTTTTAAGTATAAAGTTAGGTAAAAGAAAATGTACATATCACAATGGACATTTTGACACAGTGACATTGTGGTTTCCCTCAACACAACCAAAAAACAGCTAATGCAACCAGAACAACACAAGTTCCAGAGTGACATCTAAGATTAAAACAGGGTTCAAGTGAAACATTCTTACATTGTTACTGTCCAAACCTGTTGTACGGACAATCCAGAGACGTTCGCTGTCATGTGTATGATCTTCCCTCACCTTATAAATTATTTCAATGTGAACCAACTTTTCTGGCAGCACCGACAGGTGATCTGTCTTCCCCGCCGTGTGCAGGTGAAGCAGCTCACTCAAAGAAATCACAGAAAACTTGTTCTCCATTCTGCAGTAGCAATCATTTTCTGATCTTTCTTCAACCAGAGATGTAATCTACCAATATACCTTGTCCAAAAACCTGAGACATGGCAACTAGTCCAACATTGCATGATGCCGGGGTGTCATCTTTAACTTGTTCCGATGTCTCTGTTCCTGAGCATAGTCAGAGATCAAGTGTATGTTTATATGAATACACGTGATAAGGTACTGTTTAAAAAGTTAGCCCTAGGGTTATTCTGCTGACAGTCATGTTGCCCGCTGAGCAAAAGAGATGACAGCACACAATCTAATGTGTAGAACACAGAAGTCTGAATACTTAGTTACAAAACCATAAGCAGGGTCTTAAGATATTTTCACCATTTGGTTTGTAGATGAAACACACAGAAAATACCAATGTTGACATGTACAGCCTCAGTCTGGATGTGCAGTTCAAATTATGGGACGATTGGATAAAGGGGGGGAAAATGTTTCTAAGGAATGGTTCTTTTAGTGTTTTTTTTATAATATATTGAGTTTTATACTTTCTGATTCAGATGTTGCGTTTTACACTTATACCATTATGGACAGATCTTTCTCCCGTTGAATAAAAAGCTCTAGAAGGTATCTGTCCTTTTAAACACAAATAACACTAAGATGAATCCAATCGAGTCCCAGAAATCTGTTTGATTATTTCCATTCCTTTAAAAAAAAGGTTAACAAGATAAATACTGTACATCTGAACAAATAAAATGGTGGAATTCAAATATTTACATGTAAATATAAAGTGTACTCAGTGATCTGTAATGCAGCCTTTTCTCCCATCCAAAATGAAGAGTGCATGGTAGAAATGCACTGGAAAGCTATCTTTTGAAGAAACATTTTTGGTGTATTTTGCATTTATTTGCATTTTATTTTATTCATTTAGAGGCATGGATAAAACGACCATTTGATATATTTTTTCCACTTTGCCTTAGCTGCAGCATATCATTTTCTACGGTTTGACTCAGTTTGCAGTAGATGGTGTCTTAGTTAATGCCAATAGATGAACAAAGGGTTATAAAAAGAGCTAGCACAAAAATCTTTTCCTCATGACAAGAAATACAAATGACCTCATTCCATGTTGTTTATCTTCTCAGTGTATTTTAAACCATTACTAATACAGAGCATCAAAATCTGGCCTCAGCATTTTTTCCCTCCTATTATCTGTGCCTCTCTCATATTTTCCTCTCACTAGTGTGTGATCCATATCGGTAGTTAGGATTCAAATCCTGTGCCTTTCCCCATGGAAGCTTTTAGAGCTGTCACATCATTTAAAGTTATAGTTCACGACCTGTGTGTTTCCTTCTTTTCATTAAATCTGTAATTGATGCTAAATTTCCATGATTTAATGTTTCCTTTTTCTCTTATCACTTCTCTCTACAATCTGTCTTTTATGCTTGATCTTCTTGTTGTGTGGAAAAGCTTCAAAAAAGAGAGAAGACATGCCGAGCGTACATGAAGGTATAACTGCCAGGCTTTTCATGTTGTTTTTTTCTTTTCCCAATGCCTGATGTCTGACTCTCAGCATGCAGCATTGTGTGTCTCTGTGCCTTTGGTTTGTCTGTGTGTCGGGTGACCTGCTTGTATAGAATCTAGCTGCTTCGTCATCCGTCTCTGCTGCCTGCTCTCCTGTCATTCTGTCCATCTGAAGATGCTTCCATCAATATTTTCTGTTTTTTTTTCCCCCCCCCATTTTCCCTCTTCAGTATCCATTGGCGGGCACATCTTTCTGTCATTTTTTTCTCTGTCCTCCTTGTCCGCCTCCCCCTCTATTTCACTCTCTCCATCACTCGCGTTGGCTCTTTTTACGTTGTGTGAATAATTGCCTTCCCACGGTCGTAATTGCACCTCCCTGTCAGCCAGGAGTGTGATCAAAGTGGCATTGTGCTCAATTGTCACTTGCTTACTTACAATCTCCTCTGTCGCCATTGCAAGAAAAAAAAAGAAAGAAAGAAAATTCTCTTCTCGAGCCGCAGTTGTGTTTCATCTGAGGAATTCATTTCTGAGCCCATTAATATGTTTGTGTTTCAATTGGATTCTTACTTTTTCAACGCTATGACAGAGTTTGTTTTCTTGGGAAGGCTCTGCTGAAAGACTAGAACATGATGTAAACATGGGAGAAAATGCCTTACACAGAGTAACATAAATGATCATGTTTTTACTCAGAGGCTCATGAGGTGCAAGTTGAGGTGGTTTTTATTCTAAATTTCTTTTTGTTGAGATACAAATGTTATGCTGTTGATTTGTTGAGGAACCTTTAGTTGTACCACACTAGTGGAACATGGAATTGTTTGCCCACTGGCTGTTTAGTCCAACTCAACATCTGCTGAAAGGTTTGGCACAAAGCGTGGCGCAGGTATTCATGGCACCCTGAGGACGTATCATTGTTCCTCTGGTCTAACTTTTCTCTTTCCCCAAACCTATTCAGAGTCGGAAAGTCTGGGTCTGTAGCTTGTAATACTTGATAATAATTGCAGTAATGAAAATATAATTCTTTTTGGGCTTTAAATGATCTTTTCATCACTGCTGTATAGGGGCTCAACACTGACGGGAATGGGTGGGTTTTAGCACCATCGACGGGGAGTAGATTTCAGAAATAATGAAACATCTGCACCATTTATACCACAGCGGAAGTATTTCTGAAAAGTTGAATGACTATCAATACTCTTTTAGTTGGAATTGAGTTTTTGCTCTTCCACCTGTTTGATTCATTTCAGTTGCTTGTGCCAGTGGTCATTTGTTGATCTGTTTGGAAGAAGCCAAGTGACTGCCCTTTTCCAGAGTTTCCAACAAGGTCCTCCTGGGTGGGCCTGTGTAATAAACCATAATGTCATTCCGGGTTATGAGGACCTCTCCTCACATGAAATTGACAACTGAGCCTCCTGTGTATTTTCTACTTGCACCTTGTCACTACCTGATGTGAGTCACTACCCTATGTGAGGCATCCATGCGCAGATAAGATTTGCTCATACCCTATAGCAAACATCCCCTAGTCCCTTACCTAATCCAGATGCTGTTGTACATTGTTGTTACATATTTGATCTCCTAAACTCTGTAATTTGAACGTTTTTAAACAATTTCCATTGCTTTTTATTTGCATAAAGAATTAGGGATACTGGTTTCTATTTAAATGATAGGTGATCTCAAGGCTCTGAGATTTGTTTGTATGACATTATATTTGATTAATATAATCCACATATGTATAGTTCTCCTTCTATATACGGTAGAACCTCTACATACTAATTTAATTTGTTCCGGGACCTACTTCATTGGTGAAAATATTCATATGTTGTCTCAAATATTCCCATAAGAATACACTGTAATTCGTATAATTTGTTCAACAGCCCAAAAAAGATTATAACTCCTTAATAAATACTACAGTTAATTACACATAGCACAACTAATATCTATAGAAAGTTAGCTTGAATTACTTTAATACTATAGACTTTTTGAATAAATCCCAGACAAATGTTTTTCTGCAAGCCTCATGGGCCACAGTACACGCACACTGGTTTACACTGGTTTCCTTGATTCAGTGTTTCGAAACTGCAACAATAACTGCTGATGGCGTTTTTCACCAGGACAGCTGTCCTCTACAGCTATTCTGGTTGGAGAGGCTCAAATGTTGACTGTGCTTTTTTACTGAGCTCACACCATATGTTTCAGCAGCTACAGTCAACCACAGATGCGCCCCCCTGTTGTACCCCTGGTTGTACCTCTTGTTGCACCGCTTGTGGTTTGTAAACTGACCTCCACCGAGGCAAGAATTAAAGCATACTCAGCCACAACATGCATTCTTTTCTTTGTTACGCAAATCAGAAAAAGGATTTCATGGGTCTTTTGTGGGTGACTTACCTATGGATGAAGGGATGGTGGGTATTTAGTGTGTCTACTTGTACCAGCCCCAACCCTGTTATAGCCTCTGCCCTATCTCTCCCTCTTACACACACACACACACACACACAGTCAACACACAGTAACATATAGTCACAACCTATGTGTGTTGCTTGCAAGGTCAGGACCACCGAAACAGATTTTAGTGCTTTAACCTGAGAAATAAAGACCAACTGCAAGTACCCGTGTATGGATACGGTCATTTTTCTGTGGTCAAATGGTGCAGTTAATCAAATACTGGTGCAGGCTCTGGTTGATCCACTTCGTTTTTAGTCCCAGCATATGGATAATCCTTACACAGGTCAATTAGTGTTTTGGATAATCACAGCTGTGACTAATTGGTGCAGTGAACAGGGGTTTGTTGTGGTTAATTACCATTATTGTGTTGGGTCATGCTGTGGTTAATGGCACCTATGGTTAAATTGTCATTCATAATAAGGGCTGGTATAAACTGTTGTGCAACTGTCTGTTTTTGGAGGATTTCTCGAAGTCAGTCTTGTTGTTTCTTAATTTTGTCAGTTCGAAGTCATGAACTCACCCAGCCAAGGTCAGATGAAACTCTTGTTTTATCAGCATATGATACTTGTGTGGGTTTGATGGAATGTTTTGCTTACTTATGGCTTATCAGAAAGCAGGAAATTAAAGGATTGGCTTTGAAAACAAGCAGAAATCCACCAACCCCTATTTTGACCTAGACTACTATTTTGGATATGGATTTCATGTTAATGCCCCCTTTCCTGCAGGAAAACAGAATCATGGGATCCTGTTATGGAAACTGGTGCATTTTCTAGAGAAAAAAAAGTCAAATAACAATTTCCACAAAGATGATTGTTGTTGTAGAATCTTGTAGCTCAAAAGTAATAATTGTGAATGCAGCTCTGTAGGCAGATTCATTCAGCAATCCGGGAAAAAAACGAATTGTTCATCCCTCAGAATTGGCAGCCTTTGATAAAAAAGTTCACATGAGAATTTATTAGGTCCAGTGTATTTTTTTATGAAGAAGAATTTTGAATAATACCCACTTAATCTTTTATTGTCATCATTATTTTATCTAGCTGGGGTGAACCCTCTGTATTCAGTCAGACTGATCTTGATATTTCAGTCCGCTTTTATTACCGTCACTATTGACCATTCATGTCCTTTTTTTTATCATTTGCCTCACAGTCCCCAGCACTTTGTTATCAAACTCCAGTTATGACGGGAGGGACAGCAACTGACATTTCACTTGTCTCCATGGATACAGGCAATCGTGGACACTGTTGACAACCTCCTGAGGCCGGAAGCGCTGAAATCTTGGAAAGACATGAATTTCACTGAGCAAACGCATGCCGCCACAATGCTCCTGGATACCCTGGAGGAAGGGGCATTTGTCCTTGCAGAGAACCTGATTGAACCTGCGATTGTAAAAGTGCCCGCAGAGAATATCAGTAAGTTCATGTTAAACAGAGATAACCACATGTGCATAGCTGTCAGTCATGTTCATGATGCTTCTGCTTTTTTTTTTTTTTTGGATTGTATGTCTGTTTTTTTTTTTTTTGCTTTTTTAGATAACAGAACATTTTTTTCATAGAGGATATAGTTTTAAAAAATGCCCACACCTCTTAATGGAAAATTCCTGCTATAACATTTAACACACAGGCTTTAAAAAAAGGAAAGCAAATTAGTTTTGACAGTACACCTATTAGTGATGCAGTCTCATTCATTTCAGTCAGCTTTGTGCTGTGAACTGTCATGTTTCTACTCATAGCTCTTTGTTGCCATGGTTATGGTTCCTTATTCACCCTTTTTGTCTTATATCTCATTGATTTTTAATCTTTCATTGTGAAGTCACTTCATTGGATGTGTGCTGTGAGATGAACTGTCCAGACCTCTGCGAGAAAACAAAGAAACCAATTGAACGGCACTGTTTCATTCATACAGCACTCTATCTGTTCTTTCCATGCTCATCCCATTAAGGAGCAGTTAGCTAAGCTGATAAAGACTATTTCTGTCTTTACAAAAAGCACTGATTAATACGATTGTGTAATATGCTGTATATTGACTATTTAATCACTACGTGTGGACACCGCTCATGAGCTAGTCTAGCTCTTGCTTATCTACACAGTAAAGATAATACGTCACTAAAGAAACATAATTATACCCATGCGAAGGAGAACACAACTGTGGAGAACACTTTACCTGAAGTCCCTTGCAGAGTCGAAAGAGCTGAGAATGATTGTCCTTTTTCTAATTAGTGTTGTTCGAGGCCCAAATGGCTTCTCCAGGTGAGACTCGAGGACAAAATGAGGGAAAAAAGGGAGAGCGAACGGGAGCTAAAAGCTAGACTGAGGGAAAGAGAAACTAGAGAACAATTTCTCATCTCTGTCCATCAAAAGCCATCTATCTGCGGAAGTGAGGCCATTTCTGAGGAGGGAGTGTGCTGATACGTATGTTCTCCTGACCCCTCAGTAATTTCACACATCAAAGAGAGCACCACCCGGCAGCTGGAATGCCAGAGAGAAGGGTTGCAGGAATTCTAAGGATTTTCAGAGATTTGCTCATCGAGCCCTGAGTTATCTGAACCCACAAGGGAAAGAAAAAGTAAAAGCTCAATGATATGTTTGATCCGATGAATATTTGACATTTGTGCAGCAGTAGGTTATGTGCTTGCATTCACTCATACTCCATCGCAGCAGTTGTCGTTACTTTTTCCTTTGCGCTTGCCTCAGAGGCACTTACAATGGCAGCCAACATTGACACGAAGCAAATGACACCTTAAGGGATCTTGCCAGGAAGATATGGCTCTAAATGTTACGATGAACATTAAGTCTTTACAGACATGCCAGTGGGCACTTACAGTTGAGCTCTCTTTAACACAGTGTAAAACAATCAAAATGTTGCCATGAGTAAAGCATCTCTGTTCTTTTCCTCTTCTCTTGTCTTCTACTCTGTCTTAGTGTTGGATGTATATGTATTAAGCACTGATGGCCAGGTGCAAGACTTCAGATTTCCACAGACAAGCAAAGGTGGAGCAACTCTTCAGCTCTCTTCGAACACCGTTAAAGTCAACAGCAAAAATGGTGAGAGAAACAGCTGTGGAAACATCCTTGGTTCCACCTTTTCATTTAATTAATAAGTGTTGATATCTCACGGTAATCTCACATATCAGAAACATTTCTAACCTTACCAGATTTCTAAAGCAAATGTGAGACATTTGAGATGTGGGCTTATTAGTAGGTGTAACATCTTGCATGTGGTTACTTGCCAAAACTGTATTCAAAGATCTGATTTGGTTTTAGGTCTAGTGTGTATAATCTTCAAAATGCAAATCTAGTGTGTATATATGAAACACATCCTCAAATGAACTTGCAGGCACTACAATAAGAACAGCTATTGTAACTGAAGCTGTCCTTGTGAGCATCGATGGCCAAGTATAATTGGCTCTATGGAGGATAAAGAGCTCTCAAATATGGCAAGTGATTATTTTGGATCTGCACAAATGATAGAAATAAGTAAACTTATTAAATTCAAGCTTTGAGCACCTGCCAATCAAGATCTTTAAATCTCCCACAGAAACCTTACAATGTAACCTTTACAATCAAGGAAATTACTTTTTCTGTAGGAGAACATTTTACAAGAAAGCAAACAAAAAATAGAAATGAATAGTCTCTGATTACAGTTTATAATTTAAAAAGATTATTCAGAATTATCCATCTCTGAGATTATATTTATAAAATACTGATTTCAGTCATCACTTTTTAGTTCACAGTTTTATTATTTTAGATTTCTGCTTTCCTGATGATCAGTTTGTGAATGTGAACTACATATGTGACTAAAGTATGTATGAGCAGACTTAAACTTCGGACTAAGGAGAAGAGGTGTTTTTGTTTTTATGAAGTACTTTTATTTAGCAAACTGTAAGGTGACAGAAAGTGTCAGCACAATGCCGACCATGTCAGAAACGAATCTGCATGACTGTTGTTTGCAGGTGTGGCCAAGCTGGTGTTTGTGCTCTACAAACACCTGGGGCAGTTCCTCAGTACAGAGAATGCCACATTGAGGGGAATGGGGGACCTGAACAAACACAACCTCTCCCTCACCGTCAACTCCCACATCCTGTCCGCCTCTATTACAAAGGAGTCCAGCCGTGTGTTTGTAGCCGACCCTGTGATCTTCACACTGGAGCACCTGGATGTAAGCCTCCTTCTGAGTTTTGCCCAGACCACACTGTAGACCTAGTGTATGAAAAATCCTGAGGTGATTTCACTGTCTGTTTGACTGAAGGGAAAACACATGACTCTCTAAAGGTTTTTGTTGGAGAGAAGTTATAATAGTAAGGACAGCTATTTTTCTGAGTTTGTTAGTCTGATCGGACTTGTAGTGAGAACTTGTTGTTTTGTGTTTTGCCTCAGGCTTGAAAATTGCCATAGTAACCTCACATTTCATCATAATAAGATTCTATTTCTTTTTCTTTTTGTTTTGAACCTTTACATCCACAGCAAGGAATTCTGTTTGAATTAATTTCAACTGCATGAATTATAACATCTCAACAAATCACAGATAGTGTAAACATAAAATACACAGCACTGGCATCCTTTAACTCATTGGTGCATAGAGAAATATGAAATATTCAAGCCCAAAGCAGTGTATGGTCCAGCTTTACAGCCAAAAGTTAGAATTGATTTTCTGTTTCCTCTCTTATTCAACTTGAAGAAGGAGCACTACTACAACCCCAACTGCTCTTTCTGGAATTACTCGGAGCGAAGCATGATGGGATACTGGTCCACTCAGGGCTGCAAACTGCTGGAAACCAACAAGAGCCACACCACTTGCTCCTGCAGTCACTTGACTAACTTCGCTATCCTCATGGCTCACAGGGGGAATGTGGTAAGTGGCCCACACTTTGTGATACTTGTACGGGATATTTATCTCTCTCAATTAGTTGTGCTTTCTCCTGTCCCATTCAATGGTTTATCCATGTACAGCAAAAACAAGAGTGGAATTAAAAAAGGATTAGATTAAAGGTGGAGTAGAATGTAAAGCTGGGTGTGTAGCAGAAAAACGGCAGTGGGTTATCAATTTGAAAGAGCGAGACAATGGGTCAGAATAAGAAGAAATTATGTTTCACCTGTAGTTCAGGTCTTATACTTTTTTTTCTATGTGTTTTTCCCTTCATGTGTTAATTGGAAACAGCAGAACCTCGGTTTTAACTTGTATTTTTACACCTTGAAGTGGTACTGGAACCATTTGGTCGCAAAATGCAATTACAATCCAATTACAAGATAAATAGCATGTGTTGCTACGACCTAGGCAGTAATAAATGTAAAGGATAAGTTTGTGGGTTTTTTAATAATACATTCCAATTCCTGAACTCTATGACTATCATCTGTCTTAACCTCAACCTTAACCACACTTCCAAACCAGAGCCCAGATGCTGGGCTGAACCCCACACCAATCCCCCTACACTTCACCTCAACTGTAACTCCTGCCCTCAGTGAAATTACAAATATCACTTGAGGAATTGCCTCACTCTCAGGCCACCATGTTTTTGAGTGATATTTCGCCTGGTCAAGTCGCCATCGTGAAACACCCTCGTCACTCAATCTTCTGAGACAGTACATTATTCCACACCGATACAAAAATTGTTGCCGTGCTCTTTGAAGCAGGTTTTGTATCTATGTCACTTTCTCCAACTCATTAGGCTTCAAATGATAAGTGAAGTCAGGTTTAATTGGTTTTTTGTAGTGTCTGAAAGCTGCCCACCTGACTCCGATGAGTGTTTGTATATCATTTAAAAGGAAAATGTCGTTTACATTTTTCATATAATCCTAAAATCAAATTTTTATTTTCAGATGTGGGGGTACTAATTATTTATTGTTGAAAGTATGAATCAAAGATTGTTTCAGAATTTAAAAGGTCATCTATTTTTACAGGTAGGCTGTGTCATAAAGTACATGGATGTTTCTCATAGGCGAGGGTCTACACTTGAAGAGGGATAGCTGGAGCTATTATGTGCTTAAATGCTATCCATGATAATGACAAGTGCAAATGAGAAGGTCAGTCCCTGCTTTCTGTGTCTCCGCAGAGGGAGGGGAGCATGCATGAGGTTCTCCTAACCGTCATTACCAGGATGGGCATCGCTGTGTCTATAGTTTGCCTGGCCATCAGCCTCTTCACCTTCTGCTTCTTCAGAGGTCTGCAAAGTGACCGCAACACAATTCACAAAAACCTCTGCCTCAACCTCTTCATCGGGGAGCTTCTGTTTCTCGTGGGCATCAACATGACAGAACCAAAGGTAGAGTGGAAATTAGACGCTCTTAGTTATCTTAGTCATATCTGAAGTGATTAACCTTTATAGGCTGAAATTTCTCCCTTAATTTGCCTTTGAAGTGGTGAACCACTTAAAAAGATATGAACGTTAGAAATAAACTGTTTGAAATATCTGCACCGTATTATCATGTAGAAATATTAACTACATGCTATTAGTCATAATAATCTTTAAGATGCATGTTTCAAAAACATGCATCTTCTGTGTTATCAAGCCAGTGTATGCAATCTATATTCCAAATGTACATTTTCATAAACGCACATCATGTTTCTAAGATTTCACAAGGGGTTTTGCAAATATTTAACAAGGCTAAAAAGGTTATGTTTCTTTGGCCTATTTATCTCTATTTGATAGATTTACACTTCACTTCACAGTGGTAGTTTATGTATTTTAATTTTCACCGGCCCCTGATGGAATTACGTGGATTTTTAGCTGCTAAAATACTCACCAGTGAGACTCCCTAGTTTGGTAGGGTAGCGGGTCTCACAGGAAGATGATCTCCACCGTGGCTGGGAGCCAAAACAATAAAGCTGCAGGCAGAAAAAGCTATATTTCATTAAAAACATTTTTTAAAGCATAGACAAGCTATCTCTGTATGTGGTCATGTATTCTGTCCTCATTACTTTATCATAATTACTTTCATAATGTTTTCTTTTTTCGAGCAGGGCCATTAAATTACTATGCAAACACTGAGTGTTAAAACCTTTACAGAAACATTTACTGTTTTTACAAATACAGTTACTCTTAATTATTAAACAAGCAGGGAAGAAATAAATGAGCCAAATGACTTTGCATTCTGGTTTCCACGTGTGTAACTTCTCCGTCTTTGTCCTGCTGTCAGCTGGTCTGCTCGGTCATTGCGGGAGTCCTCCACTTCTGCTTCCTGGCTGCGTTCACCTGGATGTGTTTGGAGGGAGTGCAGCTGTACCTCATGCTGGTGGAGGTGTTTGAGAGCGAGTTTTCACGCAGGAAGTATTACTACATCTCCGGATACCTCATCCCGGCCGTGGTGGTTGGCATCTCGGCAGCCATCGACTACAGAAGCTACGGCACACAGCAGGGGTGAGGGTGGCATCTTTACAGGGGCGCTTCCTCTTTCAAAGATTGGGAGGAGAATCACGAGCATCCCCAATGAGACACACCCACAGAGCGTGCGTAGTGTGTTATGTGCTAATGATAGATATACGGCATGGCAAAGAGCAGCCTACCTCTGCCCCTTGGCAAATTTACAGCGTGTCACTGCTAAAACAGGAGGCTGTGAGCACAGCAGCAGCAGCATTAATGAATTTGCTGGCCTGCTGTATTGACTTGCCGGTTTTTTTTTTATTCCTTGCATGTGGATACTTGCCGCCCTTGTCCGTTAAAAGTTTATGCACTACTCTGCTGGTCTTTATCCAAGCAGCAAGCTTTATGATTTGTAAAACTGCAACCCACTAATTTATGGCATTTTAAGTAAAGTGTGTTATTCAAAGTCTTTGTTCACTGCATAGGTCTTTTTCTTCATTTCTGTTTCCCTGACAGAAACAAATAGAGGCGCAGGTCACTCTTAAACTGTCTTATTCTTTGTTTATTGTGCAGAATCTTAGGTACACACAACCACCTCACATTTGCAGACATTTGCAGACTGTGAAGTCATGAGTCCAATAACTACTGCCCTTTTACACTGCAGCTTCTCATGGCACAAAGCCAACACTCCCTTAAGGTCGGGTTTTCTTCTCTGCGGTCAGAGGAGTTGCTATTATTTTGCCGTAACCTATCATCCAGCCTGCTCTGCAGGGCCCTGATCGATTAGACACAAGTTTGTTTTGGCATCGAGATGATTTATTGAGCTTAACATTACCTATTGTGTCCTGTAGGTGCTGGTTGAGGGTGGATAACCATTTCATCTGGAGCTTTATTGGACCCGTGACCTTCATAATAGTGGTAAGTTTTACATTTATGCATTCATATGCATTTTTTTCCAGTCAAAAAGAAGCTTTAAAGAACAGTTTATAGATTTTCTCTCTGTATGCTGGCAGCCTCTTAGCTCGGCTTCCTCAGATCAATTTGCATGAATGGAAAGTTGTCCCATTATAGCTGACACAAGGACATCAGTGTCCACTCAACTATGAAATCCTCTGAAATCAGAATTGTTGAGCAGCAACAACTTAGAGCTGTTTGGTCCTCTCTGTACATCTAGAGAATACTCCCCTCCCGCAATCAAGAGGAGAAATCGTTTCAGGCATGAAGGTCATTTACTCAGTGGGAAAACAAGGGAGACACTGGCGGGGGGTGAACATTGAAGTAATGAGTGGGTGGGCCAGGCAGCCATTACCACAGCTCAAAGCCCTGCTGAGGATCATGACACATCGGCAGCCAATCGGAGCAAACGGACATCTCCATCTTCACCTCTTAATATTTCATGCGGAGTGCAGGGTGTTCTCAACACACATAGACAAGACACAGAGATTGCATGAACACAGGCTTGAACGAATGCACAAAGCACATCCATATGTTTTCGCACATGTAAATCTGTCCGATAGCTCTAAAAACACACTAAACCTGAAAAAGGACTGGATTGACAACACTGGTTTTATGGGCTTTTATTTTATGCGCTTTAACTGTGGAGGACAGGCCCTTAGAGATCTCGCATGTGGGGGAAGTCCGCGTGCCTCAGTTTTCTGCAGAGTGCCTTCTAGCTTCTCACCTCGCTGTCCGTCTGTCTGTATCTCACCGGATCTGTGTCATCACTTAAGGCCATGTTAAATGTATCTCCAGCCGCTCGATTCATGCGGACATGAATTGGCCCCAGTGGTTGGCAGACAAAACTCTGATCTAAAAGCTTCTCTGTTCTTAGCCACTCCTTATTGTGCCATCTCTCTCCCTGCTGTTGCTGGTTTGGTTCTGCTTCCTCTTTTTGTTTCCAATCAAAGACTGCTCTTTGTTTCCCTTGCAGTTTTCAGAATATGTCTATTTCAGATAATAATCTTTCGCTCACTGCCTATAGATATATAGATAAAAAGTTGAAAGCGCAGTAGTTTGAAACTGAAAGCAGCACTTTTCATCATCATGGTGTTTTTACTTGCAAACTCGTGCTCTTTTTTTCATGCATGTACAGTAGCTTTCTTGTGCTTTAAAAAAGGCAATGAGCTAAGCACAAATAGGACTGAAGTTTTCAATAGCACAATAGATAAAAAAAAACACACATACTCTTTGGTTTATCGTTGAATATATGCGGAAGTACATTTATTGTTAGCGGACCAATTTGAGCGCCCCCCTCCCCCCCCCCCTTCCAGCAACCTCTTTGTGGCTCTGAGCCCTGCAGTGCTTAAAGAGAGATATCCTGAGAGCATGGAAACCTCTCTGGATGTATGGCTTGAATCACTTAAATGTTTTTCCTGGCCTCAGTAAAACCTGCCTCTGAAATGTGGCATGCTTTCCCCTCTGAATGTTTCTTGGGATTTTGGCCACAGCGTAGCAGATCTGTTTAGACTTTATGCATGTACATTCTCATCTTCTGTAATTGCACTCAAAATCATCCGTAATGACAAACATGAGAACAGAGATAAACGTTGAGGGCTGCTTATGCCGGAGCTTGAAGGTGTGAGAGGACAACCAAAGCAATCACCTCGCACTATTTTTTTTGCTCTGCAAGTCATCGTGCTCCATGATCAGCACAGAATCATAAAATTTTCATAGCCTTCCGACTTAAAGTATGCATGGTGTTGCTCACTATAGAGCCAGTAACACAACAAATAAGCAGTGCATAGTGTGAAATGCTTTAAAGACAATTCCTCACTTATAATGATTTAATCATGGTATAGTGTATTCTAATCACAGGTGATATTTTTCAGTTTTTTTTATACTGCGTAAAGACTTTAGTTGTATATTAATTAAATACAACAAATTGTTGTTATTTATGTATAATATTTGTATGTAAAATGTATTTCTAGGGTGTAAATAGTTCTTGTTTAAAAGTGAAGGATCTGAATTACTCCTTCTGCCCTGCTGGCTCAAGGAACTGGATGCCCGCCTAAGTGCAGTTCCTTAACCATGATGCACATCTGTTTTGACAGGTCAATGTCATCTTCCTGGTGGTGACGATGTACAAGATGGTGAAGCATTCCACCTCCATGAAACCCGACTCGTCCAGGCTGGGGGGTATCAGGTGAGGGGTGTCACTCGAGGAGATTAAGAGGCCGGTCTGTTGTTGCTTGCTGTTAGACTGTGTGTGTATTCATGCTGAGAGGGGTGGGGAAGGCAGTTATGTGAGAGAAAAGAGCGAGGAAGAAAAATAATATTCACCATCACTGCTTTGCCCTCTTGCTATATTTTTAAAAGCTGCATTTGACCTACACATTTATTTGATTTCCCAACCAGACCAACAGTTTTTCCCTTTAAGGTTTTATTTCAGTCTATTGAAGGTGTCTCTTTAGCTCATTTTATGATATCAGTATTTGCACAACACATAGGTGTATTGCCTGTTTTATTTCTTCATAACTGCTTTTCTGACCTTTGGGGACTTTTTCCTCCTCTACAAGCATAGTTTATAGGGGTCTTTGGAAGATGGATCCCATCTGCCTGCTTTGTATTTTTCAAGATGTTCAAAACAGAAAAAAAAAACACATCTTTTTTGGTATTAGTGGGCTGCTTTTGGTAAAACTGCAAGTCCCTGACAATTTCAGAGCTTAGAGCATTGCTTCACAATATGTTTGATGGCATACACTATGTGGGCGTTGAATTTTCAGGCAGCTGCTATGATTTTAGTTTGCACATAAAATAATTAGAAAGAATATAAAACATAATTTAATTGGTATTCAGGGTGCTTTTTAGCCCATAGCAATGTCACATTAGCAGATTTTTGGATTTTACACATTATAACAAGCCGTCACAACTTATTAACTGTCATTAATTAGTGTCTATCTCAATTGTATGCAGTTTCTTTTTTAAATTTGGGAACTTGTAAAAACCAAAAAAGGAAAAGTAATTTGTATGATGTTTTTGTCACAAGCAAGTCTAATCAGACCCGATTATTTTTCTTTGGTCTCTCTTTAAATTACATATCGATGGCCCATTTCTAGTCTCCTCTCCAGACATTTCTTTCTGGGTAACTCGATTCTCTCTTGTGCACCAGTTACGACCGGTCTCTGTCACTGAACTAGACTGTTAAGTTGTTTCCTCTAAGCTTTCCTGGAAGGCACAAAGAAAAACTTGCAGTGTGTGTGCGGTCTTCTGTGCCGGCAACTCTTAAAAAGAAAAATGCTTGACCCAAATTCATTTCGAAACTTTATACTCGCCTTCATACACAGGTTCAAATTGTACACGAGTGAAAAAAGATCATTGGGAGATTGACTATGCTCAAACATAGTCAAGCTTTATGTCAAATAAAGACACAACTGAATGTCACTTGTTAACATCCCTTTCTGTTACTTTGCAGGTCATGGGTGCTTGGAGCATTTGCGCTGCTCTGTCTTATGGGACTTACATGGTCCTTTGGCTTCTTCTTCCTCAGTGAATCTTCCATTGTGATGGCTTACCTTTTTACCATTTTCAACACCCTCCAAGGGATGTTTATTTTCATATTTCACTGCCTCCTCCAGAAAAAAGTAAGATCACTCTGCATGATTCATAAGATGCTGAAAACCAAATGAACTAGATGCCATTTATCAAGCAAAACTTGTTCAGTTCATCCTTAAACAAAAAAAAATTATGTTTCTTTGTTTTTACTGTTGCTTTGACAACGAAAAGAATAATTAAAAAATAGTTTTAACCGTCTCTAACTTAAATTCATCAACTGATACGATGAAGATAATGATTTTACAAATTGTTTACTTTCTAAGCATGCATTCCAAATGTTCTTGCCACTTAGATGCAGTTAAGTTAATTGCTTTTTGTTACAAGATAGTCAAGCCACTGAATTTTATACAAATGGACCGAAAAAACAGAAAGGAAAAATAACTGACAATGTAAATTGTGTTTTTCGGCAGCCCTTTTTAATAAAATCCAAACATTTAAAAAATGTAATTTTTCTTTTATAGTTGGTGTGGATCCTTTACATATAAAGCTCTCCATTAATATTTTTTACATAGTTATTTGGCAGAACCCATGTCAATTAATATTCTTTGTATAACTGCATCATTTCACACATAGTCCATTGTCCCTCACTTGAACTATTGTGTTTTTAAACCGCTTTCAAGTGGCTGGCAGCTAACAAAAGTTTGGGTTCTGTGCTTTTTTGAGTGAGTTGATGTGTCAAAGTCTGTGCCAGTGCACTCTGATCTGATCTGTACTGATCTTTTGCTCTTTCGCAGGTTCGGAAAGAGTACAGCAAATGTTTCCGTCAGTCCCAATGTTGTGGTGCAATACCATCTGAAGGTTCCCATAACTCAGCTAAGGCAGCCACGTCCCGATCCACAGCCCGTTACTCCTCTGCTACACAGGTACATCAGCAGGAATCAAATAAATCACATTATAGGCTTTAGAGAGCACAAGGGAAAATTCAGATGCATTTATACTTGGCAAGTCACTCCTAAATAATTACATGTTTGTAAGTTTTACGGAGCTTTTCTGTCTCTGTGTTTAGGTCTTAAAAAACTATAAAATGTTTTAGCTTTTTTTTCCAAAGATCATTTTTCTATTTTTCACTTCTTAGCAAACACTTATCAAAGTCCTTGTGCGCAAATGACCTTCAGCCTGAGAGCCTGAGACAGGCAGCAAACATTTAAAAGCAATAAAACACAAAGTAACACCCTTGATTTTGGTCTTTCAACTAATGCCATGAAAGAAAGCGCAGAGCATCTCTACCTTTTTTCTTTCATACTTTGGAAAAGTGAATGGTACTTTTAAAGGCTAAATCCTGTGTTTATTTTCACTATGAAGCCAATCTTCACAAATGATCCACATAAATGTAAAGGTTGGCCTTCCAAATGAAAGTGACACTGATGTAGAAGGTTTGCTGTGGTATTTGAGGCTACATTTCCATGGTTTATAGTTGGAATATGAAGTCTTATATTTGCATTTTCTCAATGTGTAATAGAAATAAACAAAGTACCTTTATATTCTTGCCTGTAAAGGTAGATTGTTAACAGCTTGTTGGTAAATGTATATGGCTTTTATCCAATTTAATACAAAACATAAGCAAAAGCTAATTTCTTAGTGCTTGACACGGTGCATTTACTGACCCAAAAAAAAAAAAGATTTATCTCAAAATAATTGTCCCATGAAAAATTGCCTGGCTAGATTTTTTTGCTTCCAGAATTTTTTAAACTGAACTATTTTGGAAGTAAGAGCTTTGCACCCAAACCACGGTGGCATGCAGCACTCATAATATCCGCTCTGATGACTTTGTGAGGTCTATTTTTCAAGTGCCACTGGGAATTTGATGGTTGCTTCTGCTCTCAGTGTTAAGAGGAAAGAAAAAGAAAGGTTGCGAGGCCAATCTCTCAAATTACAAACATGTGAGATTCTCAGTGCATCCTTTTCTGGGAGCAGGAGGATCAATAGCAAACGTGCAGCTTTGTAGCACAAACATGTCATCAGACGGCAAGTCTGGTGAATTTTGCATACAAGCGGAGCTTTGAATCACAAACCTGCACCGCCACAGTCCTCGGGGCCAAAAGCCTCGGAAAAATAGCAGCACCTTGTTGAGTACTGATCAGTGCCTGCTTTTTTTTTTTCTCAACACAGAGCCGCATCAGGCGGATGTGGAACGACACTGTGAGAAAGCAGTCGGAGTCCTCCTTCATCTCAGGCGACATAAACAGCTCCTCTACTCTCAACCAGGGTAAGCAACCATCGCCTCCATCAGCACCAGACGTGACACATGCTCTATTCTCTTTGTGATGAAGTTCTGGATTCACAGCAAACACTTCAATAGCTGTGGCCTATGCGGCTCTGTGGAGGCTGAGGAGTTTCATGTTATTTTGCTCTTAAGTGATTGGCAATAAAAAGAATAGCATTAAATGCCACTAAGCTTGTATCTTTTCCTTGGATGTTCTTTCTTGCTTGAATTATCTAAAAGGAGAGAAAAAAAGACATAGATAAGAGATGAGATGTTATGTGGTGTGTAAAATGTTATGGATGAGGACTAGAGTTCCTTTAATGACCCCCGACATGAGGGACTGACTGAGCAACGGCCAACTAAATCATCCTGATCCCAGAGTGACCGTCAGGTTGGAAGGGGAGAGAGATGAGCAAAGGCAGGTGGAGGTCAGAGCAGGTTTTGGTAATGATCCCAGCATCATGAGGCTCAGGCTCAGGACTGTGCCAACACAGATTTGGCTGTGGGTTTGAATTAGTTTTAAGATTTTCTGTTTCCCTTTTGATATTTATGCATGTGTAGAGTTTCTCAGTGATCCGTCCAAATAAGTGAGCATAGTTATTACATTCTCAAGGACTCACACAAGCATGCTGAGGTTGGTGGGGATACTGTGTTATTCCCAGCAAGCACTTCAGACATGTTTTGTCTACTGTCTCAACTTGGTGAGTTTGTTTAGATGAATTTGTTGCACATAAACAGTGCGGCTGATTGTGTTCTTGTGCTTTGGTGAACACTTGTCGCTATAATTTTGTTTGTCAGCTACATCAGCAGAATGTTTGAATAATGGCACACTTTGACCAGCGTTTCTAAGGCTGCTCTGTGTGCGATAGAAAGCAGACAGAAGGTTTTACCATAAATCTTTTGGAGTGTCACATTCTGGACGGGGAACATTGATGTCTGTTTACGTCGACAGCTGCCCAGCACACCACAAACTGTGATGGCCAGAATCTTGAGTTCTCATTCTCAACTGTTTTTCAACTCCTAATTTTCTCCCTTTCTGTCTCTCCTCCTGTTATTTCAGGGATGACTGGCAACTACCTCCTTACTAACCCTCTCCTTCGAACCCACGACACTAACCCTTATAACAACCTGCTGGCAGAAACGGTGGTGTGCAACACCCCTTCCCCACCGGCCTTTCACTCCCCAGGTGCACATTCCACCCACCAGCACATCTCTTCAACAGATCTCTGGTTGTTGTAAAGCACACGTGCAGCATTTTAAGAGACATACGTGTTTGTTTTCAGAGGATCGAGGTTGTAAGCACTCTCATATCTACTTTGTTAAATATATGACTGTCAACTGGAAAGCTTAACTTAACAAACCTAATTAAAAACAGACACATAGCCAGCCTGAGTCTGCAAACAAATTCTACCTAAAACATTTTTTTAATCCAATAATGAACAATTTTTATCTTTTTGGTATAAAAACAACAGGTTGTGGAGTTTAATAGGAAGCAAATAACAAAATCCGCCTTGCAGCATCTTAAAAGCACACTTAATTAACACTTGACGTCGCATTTGTTTAATAATACAAAAACCACACCGTGCCATTTTAGGGCAGAATATCTGCACATGTACTTCTTGGATCGGAACAGTTCCCAAGCAACCAGAAGAAAAAGAAAGTTGCTGTTCCTTGGCCAAGATAAAAAATTCTTCACCACAAACATTAGATAAGACTATGTATACCAAAGTACTAGTAGAATTGACTAATCAGATAAATTAGGATGACTTAAACTGGACCGTGTTGTTTTCTGACTCGGTCGGGTTAACAGCTCAGCTCTGCCTCCAGTCTTTGTGCCAAGTTAAGATGATTTTCTGCTGGTTCTAGCATCAAATTATCAGATGTGCATGGCAAGTAATAACAGTATTCTTCTCTTCTACATCTCTGCCAGGAAAAAAAAATGATTGGATTTATTATACACATTACCTGTTCAGATTGTGGCAGTGACTTAGCGTGAATGAAATTTTTTAAAATAGTAATACAAGATTTGCCTTTTGTTCTGCCTCATTGGCATTTTCTCTGTATTTTTAGTGGTTACCCAGGTTTCGTAAACAGAGATCATCATAAATTTCTTGTCTAGTTTAGCAGCCACTTGGGAATTCCTCTGTGTTAAAAACAGACCTGCTCATATTTACCATTCCCCTGAATAAATGTCACGATGAAATAGAATCATTTTGAAATCTCTACATTTAATCAAAACTGAAAGGCGCTTGTGTTGATTGTGACCTAGTTCCTTAAAAATAAACTCAAATCAAAGAGGAAAGACAGAAGCACATGATGCAACGCGCGCAGAGTTGCAGACTTCAGTTATCCGCAGACATTTGATGATAAAAGAGAATACACAAAAATGGTAGTGTGGCAAAAGTGTGTATGGAGCGGATGCAGCAGATAACCTTCTTTAGTCATCGCTGTGTTCTTTTGTGCTGTGAGCTGGCTTACAGCACAAAGCGAGCACTCCACACTTAGAGATAATGAAGCAGGGCTGCAGCCAAACAGTGTCTGTGCAGAAAATCAAAGCTGCTCTCTGATTTTATTTATTTATCCCGTTTATTAGGTTGAGCTCAGCAACAGCGGAGCTGGTCAGACTCACAGGACCGTGTTCAGGACCCTAAAATGTTTATTTTGTTTATTAGGGTTGAGTGATATGTTAACATTGTAGCACAGGAGATAGATAAAAAGGAATATTTAATTAGGAGGTATTTCTCGGTGTGAGCACAATTCTCTCCTTTACCTGTGAAAACACATTTTCTCCCCCTGAGGCACACTGCTGTAGTTAGCCATGTTCACACACAGCCTACTAGATAAAATGCTACACGTATAGCTAAAAAGCAAATGGAAATGCAGCGCTAAAGTTGGGAAGGGGGGGATCAGAGATTAAACATGTGGAAAGTAGTTTTTAGGAACGTAGCGGCAGTGTGACACACAAAACTTGGTGTGAAGATCACCTGCCAAGTATGAAAGACGTGCAGAGAGACTGTCAACTTTAACACAAGTTTATTCTAAATTCTACCTGCTATAGTCATTACATTTAGCTCCTACAGAAGGATGAGCCTGTCTTATATTATAAGTGTATTAATACTAAGTAATACTCTGCAGATGTTCTTCCGATGCACTAAAATTGGAAAGGGGAACATCTTGGATGAATCTTTGCTGGCATGCTTCCCAGAGTGCAGCTGTCGCCATGTCCAGTTGAATTCTGTTCACATCATTTCCCCCTCTCCCGGTAGACAATACCTGTTGGCAGTAAAAACCTCCGCCTGCGCATGAACTAATGTAAATTTGGAAAGTCAGGTCTATCCAGAGTAGTATTTGGTAATCCCTTCACCAGCACCATCGGACCTTTTCATCTGTGTACCCTTCTTAATGGTTTTAGATTTTATTCTTTTTTTTTCGACTTTATTGCTTATCGTTCATTTTATGACATGTTTAACAATTATAATTCTGCAGTTTTCCTTTTTTGTGTGCGTGTGTGTGTTTGAAAAAACACCAGCACCTCCAGCCTCACATAAAAAAATATTACCCCGTCTCAATAATCCTCATCACATGAAAGTAGTCCTTTTCACTTTTATCCTGCTATTCGTCAGCTTTGTCATAGGGCTAATCAAAATTACAGTACATTGTTTTAAGTTTTGTATGGATACTTTGTTCACATAAAATCGGAACACGTAGGGAAAACAGAATTGTGTCTTGTGTTGTTATCTGGAAATGTTCCTTTTTTCACTGAAAGAGTAAAGAAAAAAGATTGCTTGCCGCTGAACCTTTTCACCCGCGGAGACCTGGATTCAGTTGTCCTTGATTTAGCTTTCAGCTCTCAAACTGGTAAACACATAATTTCATCCCCAATTCACTACAACAATTCGAGCAGTGTGGGCTAAATTATAGTTAATTGCAAGGACACAATCCAGGTTAGATCAACTGAATCCAGGATGGATGTTACAAGCTTCCACTTTTGTCTTATTTCAGTGATTTTGTTGTTTCTGCTGCAATTGAAAAAGCATCTGTTTTACTTTTTTTCTTTCTTTTTTTTTGTTGCAAATCAGCTGTTCTTAGGCCAGATAGCCTGAGCAGACACACTTGATGTGAGTGGTGGCAAAGTGAGTCATTGCATGGTGCCTGTCTGTTCTGGTCTGTGGGGGTTGTTGCCGTGCTTGTGGGGCCCCAGTGCAGAGAGGTGGCTGGCCATCTGTGTTTGACATTACCCTTTTGTCTTTCCTTCTTTTAACAGGTGGAATGTTTTATTCATTGTTAATGTTGCAACACAACTTCATAAGCTTGAGTTCATCTTTTTTGCTTTACTCGCATCCTTTGCTATTTTTCCTGCCGATACGTTGTTACATGGTCATGAGCTTCAATACAACATGTTGCTGAACAATTTCCTTATTTTCTTCAAGTTTTATTTTGTTGTAATTGTTCCAATATTGTTCAGGATAATCTCTGACATTGGCTTTAACCATATAAGTGCCATGACAAGGATGGACATGGTGGGAAACTAATTGGGTTCTCATGTGAATTTGTATAGATCTTTTTACTTGTATTGAATTGGAATCCGCTTTGAGGCCAAAGAGCAAAAGAATGAAGTGTCCTGAGCAGTATCAAGTATATGTGGAGTAGTGGACAGTGTTTGGTTATCTCAAAAGGGGAAAACGATGTCTCACCTGCTCCTTTTGCCTTTTTTCCAGGACAGCACTCTCTCAGCAACAGCAGGGACATCAGCGCCATGGACACCCTCCCCCTCAACGGCAATTTCAACAACAGCTACTCCCTGCGCGACGATGACTACGAGGCTGTGGGCGTCCGAGCCCCAGGTGACCTGGGGGGCCTCAACCTGGATGATGCCGCATTTGAGAAAATGATCATATCCGAGATTGTCCACAACAACCTAAGGCCCCGCGGGGCTCCCAAAGTCCGTGACACCCCGAGGGAGAGGGACCGAGCCCTGCCTCCCCAGACCAGGGTGACGGTGGACCGAGGTGGGGGTGGGAGTGGCAGCGAGGATGACGCCATAGTGGCGGATCACACCGACGCCTCATCTCCCCAAAGAGGAGGTGTGAGAGGAGGCCACACCACCCTGGAGCTGCTCTTGCACCCCCACCATAAGGAGGTGCTGGAGGCTCCGCTCCTGCCCCAGAGGACTCACTCCCTGCTCTACAGCGCCCAGAAGGCCCCCCGGCGCCTAGAGGGACAGAACGGCCATGGCTCCGAGACTGTTACCGCTGTGGAGGACATGGGCTCTCACTCACCCAACAATAACAGGGACTCCCTATATACCAGCATGCCAAATTTGAGAGACTCCCCCTCACCCTCAGCTTCACCGTACCCACCAGAGGAGGAGCTCTCCCCCTCTTCTCAAAGCGACAGTGAGGGCGTGTACCATAAAAGTATGCCTGAACTCGGCGACGCGCCGCCGTCGCTGTCCTACTACCACATAAATCGAGGCACCAGTGACGGTTGCATCATTCCACCCAACAACGAAGACTGTGCACAGGAGGGAGAAACGCCCACTGATGGACAAATGCAACTCATTACCAGTCTCTGAGTAGGCCATCGTGCTTTGCACAGGTTTCAACACTTGGGTGCTTTCGACTGATGTCAAGAGAGCTGGTGAACCTTGCTCCTCACATGCTTTCCTGTTAGAACAGGAAGTGAAAAGTTGCCGGGTGGGAAAAGGAATGAATGAATGACTTTTGCACACAGATCTCATTAAGACACAAAACACATTCGACTAAGGCCAGACAAATGTGGGCTGTGGAAGCTCTGCTGTTGGACTAATGAGGTGCAGAGGCTAACACGGGGCAGCAGTTTCAGTGATAAGTCTGGCATTTCTGTTGTACTGAGAGAAAAATCGAAGAATATGGAAGAAAAAAAAAAGAGAAAAAAAACTCCAAGCAAGGAACCATGAAACTCTTGACATGTTCCAAGGAGACTTTGCTTAACCAGGGTCTTGCTAGTGACGAAGTGCAGAACTAGAACCAGTGTGGCTCCACTACACCGCCAGGACAGTAAAGTTAAGAAACCACTAATTCAGACTCAGGCCTTATATTTTCTCTATTGCACATTTAACTGTTGTCCAAGTAACAGCTGAAGAAAATATATTTTGCTGTACCACTAGTGTAAAAAGTAAAACAAAGAAAAAAAAGAAGAAAAAAAAAGAAAAGGCAACCATTCAGTAGTTATGTCCTTTCAATGTTAAGATTCTTCAGACAAGGTTAATCAAAAATGGTGGAAATGTGCTTTTTCCTCTCACACTTGACTTGTTGTAGTAAGTTTGAATATGAAAAAAAAAAAGTTTTGAGAGATATCAGTCCATATGAAACCATGCTCACGTCTCTGCTTGTGAAGTGCTTTTGCTTTCATGAATAATGAATTTTTGCCAGTAGTACATTTGTTGACACCAGGCCATGCACAGATTTGGAGTGAATTGGATTCTTGTGTAATTTATTTTACTTGAACAAAATCGTCAGGTTTGAGACTTATGTTCATGTCTATGCGATTTTGCCGACATTGCAGACATGTTTCATTCTCTGACACCAATTAATTTATTAACTATTCAGAGAAAAAAAGAAATAGAAGTCCATGGTTGGGAAGAGTGAAAATTTGTTGCAGCACTGATTAGGTTCATTTTATTTCTTTTGTAAGGGCCCATCATCAGCTGATATTTAATTCATCTCCTGTTTGATATCAAATAAATGTGAAAATTTTTCTTGTTCGCAGATGTTTGCCTGCTTATTCATACTTCATTTATTTTTGTCATAAATTTGCAGTGCTCATGCATGTAATGGAAAGACTAATCATATCCTATATGAGATACATGCAGCCAAGACGTGTTTTGGAACTAGTGGATGAAATGGAAATTCACCCTGCATCTATTTGCTTTTGTAAATATAACATTTATCATGGGACAACATTTCATCTAAGCCTGACCTTTCTTTGATAGAGAGCAAAAAGGAGGGGAAATAAGTTCCATGGGGGAGCATCTCACAGCAACAGTTTGTCCCCGTCCTCATTCTGTCCTACAATCAGTGAGCGTTTGCCCCCTCTCCCCCGCCTCATCTGTTGTCTCTCTGTAACATCTGTCCATTTCATGTACTGTAACAGCTGTGTCTTTGTAAAACTCCCCTTGTGGCATATATATATTTTAGGAAATATCAGTTAAAGAATTGCACATTAAACTGAACAGAATGTGATCAACCATGAAAAAAGAAAAAAAAACTGAACACATTTTTATTCATTTTGATCTGTCTGATGTAAGTTCAGGTTTTAGTTTCTTGAAGTTTTCAGGTGAAAAGAATATTGTTGGTATGCAGCTGGATATCCATTACATTTTTTAAAACATTTTCTGCTGATTATTCAAGACCGGGTCTCAGATGGAAACCGAGGCAGGGATCCACAGACCTCCCTCTTTCCAGTCAACACCTTAAGTTCTTCTGGGTGGAAATAAATGTGTCCCTTATCTTCTTCCTGGTGGATATGAATGTGTTACTTACTTTCTTCTGGGTAGAAATCAATGTTTTGCCAAGCCTACTGAGAGACATAGTTTCACTGGTGATTCCTGGGGTTGCCTTGTTGCATCTTCTTAGTAGGGCATGACTGAAACACCGATCATCTATTTAGGAACCCCGATCACATGGCCACACCACCGCAGTGGGCTCCTGTTTCTGCAGCGAGGCAGTGACTTTCTGAACCCCTCCCAGATGGCTGAGTTTCTCATTGCATCCCCAAGGGTGAGCCCAGCAGTCCTGTGAAAGAAGATTATTTTTAGCCTCTTGTATATGTGATCTCACGCAGTTGGGCAGTATTTACGGTCCGGGCCCAATGATTGACGGCTGAATTTCAAATCTTGAAAATAAATTCAAAATCTCAAATGATTTCAGTTTGAAGTTGTAACGATTTTCAACTTGCAACAGCCACATTTTCACTTGAATCTTAAATTTAAATAAATGAAAACACATCAGCATCAGGCCAATAACAGGTATTAAATACAATTTCTCTTTCTGACCTGAATGGTTAGTGTTTGTCTATTACTGGACAGTGATAAAATAACTACACATCCTATACTTAGGCATGTCTACAAATTTAAATCCAATTATGTTATATTTCATTCAATGTTGAGCACTCAACACAATCATTTTTAATGAAAATGGATGTTCTCGTTTCTAGCACCTGTATATACCTGTCTGACCTTCTATTTTCTATACATGGATGAAATGAACCAGTCTCTGGTTCGTTAAGAAAAATCATAATTATATAATGAGATAAAGTGCTTTTCTTCCCACTGCAGGTTCCAGAGGTCCCATAATGCAAGTCTTTCACATCAGATGCATTTATAGTCTGTAGCCCACCATATCTCTCTAGACACTACTTTAACTAGAATCAAATGTTCAGTAAATATTCCCCCTTATGAAGAATGCATTTAATAAGACCTACATGCCCTTTAATAACTGAACATATTTAGTTGTTGGCATCATTGGCACCATCAGTTGGTGCACATTGTGTCAATTCCAATTCCTCTTTTTTTCTTACACTTCCATGTCGTATTCCCTTGTACCTACAAACGCACTGGGAGTTGATGAAACTCACATAATAGATCTAACATATTAAGCATTCAAGATGTCTTTCATTTGTGGGTTTACAGGAGTATTTTGCACAGACTGACCACACACACATTCTGCAGGCAAACAGTCCAAGCAGTCGCCGCAAGATCTGGGTGGTGCAGTTTATTAACTGGAAGCTCTGTGTGCCAGTTTGCTGTCAGGAAACTCATGCGGAGGCCAAGGCAAAGCTCTGAGTCCACTATAGCTCTCAGCATTGTTGTTTGAATATCAGGCTCTCGGTTTACACAGTCTTCCAAAAGCCCTGAGAGACACCAAACCGTCTGTAAATCATACAATAACTTGGCCTGCCTTCAGTTATGAATCAAATTAATCGCAAAGCTGATGACCTGTTCAGGGTTCAGCTGAAATGGGCCAGCATTGTCGGAGAAGGCTCCCTTAATATAAACATGGGAGCCCACAACAGGCATTACTTGAGGCTAACCCTTCAGGACGTGTGTGACGTCATAGCAAAGTCGGTTTCCCTGTCTGGGTGATGAGTTTTCTTTGTGTTTCATAACAGACAAAATTGTGATGAATGAATGTGTTCAGCTCTTTCTGCCAAGCATAAAGATCAGTTTTGCATGATGCATATATATTAGTTCATTATCACCAAGTCACCTGTGCTCTATAGTAACTCCCTCACCTTATTATCTTAAAGAACATTGGATTCTGAAATGGAACAATATAAAGATGATCTCATACTTTTCCCCAAATAAAACTGTGGGGTGACTCTGGACATAAGAATCTGCTGGGGTCCCCTTTTCCTGCAGGGATGATTTCTGGCCATTCATCCTGTTCAAAGCTACTCCTTCCACCTTTGACTTTCCCTTGGGTTGCTGACATTACCATCTGTTCTTATCTGATTATTTTATGATGCAGCATATTAGCCACGCAGTGCTTGCAGAGCAAATGAAAAAGTTGCCAAAGTTTGCTGGAGATGAAAGTGCTTCATTTATCAACTCATCTTGTATCTGTCTGTAGTCAAAGCTCAGCTTCTATGGGGCAGTGGCAAATGAAGGTGCAATAAAGCTCGGTCAGAGAAGACATTACCGTGTTTTCATTTGGAACTGTTTGATGTTCCTGCTTCTGGTGATTTAGACATTATTTCATGTTCATCATCAAAAAGACATCAAACAAAATGTTGCATTCAAAATCAGATCAGAGAGCGTGGACCAAACTGTGGTGCATGCGTGCCTGGGTGCTTATGGAATTAGAGGGGGTACAAAAATGAATATAGACAATTCCACATTTATTTATTATCTTTATGACTTTTTTTATATTTTCTTTTTTCACACTATATTTATTTTCATTGGTCAGTCCATTTTTCATATTTCCCCACCCATTTTGTTTTTTTCTAATGCATTCATTCATTTTTAATGTGAGCACCCAGCCACACTGCATGTGCCCCTTATAAAAACAATTATATTTTTTCATAATAGATTTTCCTTAAACTTATTGTAATTACAATTTAATTCATTGTAACAACTTCTGGTCCCATCTACTGAAGTCCTGCTTTTGAAACATAGTATTATTATAAAAAAAATAGGTAGAAAAAGTTTTCTGAGTAGCAATCTTTTTCTTGAGGGCATGCATATTTATATTACAACTGAAATGCAAAAGGAATATTATATCTCCTAAGGGCCTCAGCTTACATTCTAATACATTTCTCTATGCTGCATGAAGATAAAAAAAACATCTGAATTTTTCTCTTCTATACAACCAGACAACAGTTAACTTCCAAGTTGCATTTGGACCCTGTGTGCATTTAAACCTGATACAAAGGGATTTCAGCACATCTTTTTTAGTAATTGTAGCTCTGCTCTTAGAGTATATGTTGAATGGCCGTGTGATATGGAAGTAGCAATTGCAAAATAATGCCTTGATAAATGTATTGCATATGTCATCGGAACAAAAGTTAATAATGCAGCAACATTCTTTCAGTTCA